TAGCTAGATCTTGTCAATCAACCAAAAATAATAAAAAGGGGAAAAATTGTACCTTTGAAACAAGTGAACCAACGTGACCAAGTTTGGCATCGCAGAATTTGCACTTGTAAGTTTTGCCATAAGGATGCACCAAAAATAATCTCCCCATTTTTCACTTCACACAGCCTCAATCTCCCCAAATCGAAACCCTTCTTATAGAATGGATGAAAAGTACAAGGCTTAGAGGGGTTTTAAGGATTTGGAGAGTTAAGCCCACAGAAGTGAATGTTAAATTCCATAAAAACAAAGTAGAAAACCGGCTTATTTTTATATGTGGCGCAGATTTTGTTTTATTAACATATAAAAGAGAAGACAACCTTCCCTTTTTAAATAGCAAGATGTCTATGTTCAAAGAATAGTTGCATCGCAAAACCTCCAGATCCCAAATGCAACTTTGCTTTTAGCACAGGCAGCAAAGAAGAATCTACAATTGAGTTCTTATCTAAAAGAACGTGTTTAATGAGTTTCACGCTTAAACAAAAGAGGAGGGCTAATGTATGCTTGGCAAACAACATTAAGCTTGTCAGATTCATGAACTTTTTCAACGAAACTTAACACTTTGTACATTTGCATCAAAAACTACGAAATTCAATGTACCCTTAGCATCATGCACGATCTAACATGGGGAAAAACCTCTCCCAAGAGATCTCCTTCAATAAAGAAATAGAAAATCTAGCTAAACTATGAACTATTTTGTTCAAACATCTCTAAATATACATAAAATCGACATGATCCAACAAGCTTGAGAGCTTCCAAACATCTTCACACGTCGCTGCTATCTCTCATGAAATAGTCACTCATTTCTGGATCTAATCAGCAACATTTTTTAGAGACAAATAAAATATGCACTCTCTTCCATCCGTAACTCAATTAACCATTTTCCTAATGGTCAAATTCAAATTCATGATGAGAAATGACGAAATCGTAAATTTGACACTACTGAATTAACAAGAAAAGCATAACATTTGCACTAAACTACATAAAAATTACTTATTTACTACCTATAAAAAAGGTGAGATTTTCACTTGTAGGATATTTAGCCATGTCAAATGAAAGATCGGGATTTTACATAGCTAGATCTAGTCATTCAAGAAAAAATAAAAAATAAAAGGGGAAAAATTGTACCTTGGTAATAAGTTGATCAGCACGGGCAAGTTTGGTTTTGCAGAATTTGCAATTGAAGGTTTTGCCTTCAAGATCCTGAAAAAATAATCGCCCCATTTTCACTTCACTCAGCCTCAAGTTCCCCAAAATGAAACCCTTCTTAAAGAAGGGATGAGAACACAAGGCTTATGAGGAGTTTTAAGGATTTGGTAATCAAGCCCACAGAAGTCTTAAAGAAAGGATGAAAACACCAAGGATTATCAGGGGTTTTAAGGATTTGGTATTAAGCCCACAGAAGGGAGTGTCAAATACCATAAAAAAACAAAGTAGAAAACCGGCTTATTATTACATGCGACGCAGATTTTGTTTTATTAACTTCAAACCACCTAATCCTATCTTTTAGAGCTGTTTAAATGTATAAAAAAGAGCTATCAGTATTTTATTGCATAATACATAAACGTGTTTTAAATGAAGGTTAAGCAAATATTTATGCCCTTCACTTTTAATTATGTATAAATAGACACTTAAGCTTGTATAAATTAAACAAATAGATCCATTCGTCTTAGTATGGAAGACAAATTAAAAGATATATTTATATATTATGCCTATTTTATTTGGACAATGCTTTGCAAAAGTATTTATAGCAATATTTTTAATCACGAGTATACTAGTTTATATTACTTTTTATTTATTTCTCTTTAAACAGTAATAATTCTATACTAATTAAATTAGAAAATTTAAAACTTAGATATAATTAAAAAAATTCTTCAGACGTCAGGTATTTTAAGACAAGATTAATTTGTTAAAACTAAAAATATTAGGAACCTTAAGGATTATATGCAAATGTCTACTATTCAAACTCAATTTCGTTATCGCTTCCTATTTACCACTATTAGTTGTATCTAGGCAAGTGGAGAAGCTCTCAAAATCTCTACCTTTGGAGCTAATACTATTTTCCTAGAACAACTTCATGAGTCACTGTTTGTGGAGCTAATACTAGCGTGTCTCTTTCGCTTCTTCTTCAGCACTTTTGTCCCATAATCAAGAATCTTTCTATTTGACCTTTCTCTTTTTTTTAAAGGGGGTGAACCGTCACTTACATCTTGGCTTGAAAATCATCTTTGAGTTCTTTTCTACACGTGTTCTATATTACGTGAGTACCTACGTCTTTTCCTACTATAATCAACCTCTGAATCGGAGGACAAAGACTGTGGACAGCTAGAATAATCAGAGGAAGCAGAAGATCACGAGTCATCCTCAGAACTGGATAACTTCTTGGATTTGTTTCTTCTGCTATTTCTCTTCCGTATCTAACCACACAACACATGAAGAAGTGTAATGAAGGATTAAAAATTGGAATCGATAAGAAAACAGGAGGTAACCTTACATTGCTCTATAGAAAGCATGCCTAATTTTAATTATAAATATAACGCAATAAAGAGTGTTCAAAGTGTGCTGGGATGATTAAGCATTATATTCTTTCATAATTCTTTCTTCTGAGTTTCAGTTAACGAATTACAAATTGAAACAAAAGAGAATGTATTTAATACAAGATCTTAGATATCTGTTTTTCATGGTGGCTTCTAAAAAATACCAAGTATCAATAGGTGCAGATAATTGTTTGTTTTGATAATTAATTCTAGATTTGCTCCACTAAGTTTAATTGAAACTGAGACAAATTCGTAAAATTTGAAACTTCTGAATTAACAAGAAAAGCATTACATTTGCACTGAACAACATAAAAACAACTCATTACTACCTATACAAAAGGTGAAATTTTTTACTTGTACCAAAAAGTGATCAGGATGTACAAAAAACCATATAAAATGAAAGATCGGGATTTTACATAGCTAGATCTTGTCAATCAGCCAAAAACAATAAAAAGGGGGAAAATTGTACCTTTGAAACAAGTGAACCAACGTGACCAAGTTTGGCATCACAAAATTTGCAATTGTAAGTTTTGCCATCAGGATGCACCAAAAATAATCTCCCCATTTTTCACTTCACGCAGCCTCAATTTCCCAAATCGAAACCCTTCTTATAGAATGGATGAAAAGTACAAGGCTTAGAGGGGTTTTAAGGATTTAGAGTTAAGCCCACAGAAGTGAGTGTTAAATTCCATAAAAACAAAGTAGAAACCGGCTTATTTTAACATGTGGCGCAGATTTTGTTTTATTAACTTCAAAACCACCTAATCTTATCTTTTAGTGTTGTTCAAATGTATAAAAAAGATCTATCAGTATTTTATTGTGTAATACATAAACGTGTTTTAAATGTAGGTTAAGCAAATATTTATGTCCTTCACTTTTAAATATGTATAAATAGACTTTTAAACTTATACAAATTAAATAAATAGATACATTCGCCTTAGTATAGAAGACAAATTAAAAGATATATTTATTTATTATGCCTACTTTATTTGGACATCGCTTTGCAAAAGTAATTATAGTAATATTTTTAATCACAACTATACTTGTTCATATTACCTTTTTATTTGTCTCTCTTTAATCGGTCATAATACTTTACTAATTAAATTTAAAAAAATTAAAACTTAGATATAATAAAAAGAAATCTTCAAACATCAGGTATTTTAAGACAAGATTAATTTGTTAAAGCAATAAATATTTGGAACCTTAAGTAGTATATGCAAATGTATTTTAATTAAACTCAATATTATAGTAGCTTTCTATATACCACTATTAGTTGCATCTTGGCAAGTGGAAAAGCTCTTAGAATCTCTACCTCCGGAGCTAATACTATTGTCTCTTTCGTACTTTTCTCCCATAATCAAGACTCTTTCTATTTGACAGTTTTCTTTCTTTACGGGGGTGAACTCTCACTGACATCTTGGCTTGAATATCTTATCCAAGTTCTTGTCTTCACGTGTTTCATATCACGTGAGTGCCTACGTTTTTTCCTACTATAATCAACCTATGAATCAGAGGACAAAAACAGTGGACTGCTAGAATAATAGAAAGAAGCAGGAGATGACAAGTCATCCTTGGAACTGGATAACCTCTTGGATTTGTTTCTTCTGCTTTTTCTCTTGCGTATCTAACCACACAACACGTGAAGATGTATAATGAAGGATAATAAAGTGGAATTGCCAGCAAAAAGACGAGAATGTATTGATAAGAAAATAGGAGGTAACCTTACATTGTTCTACGAAAGTATGCCTAATATTAATTAAAAATATAATGCAATTTCTCATGAAAACATCTCCATGAATATTTGGGTATTAAATATATTCAATTAACGAGTGTACAAAGCGTGTTGGCATGATCAATTATTGTAGAGTCTTTCATAGTTCTTTATTCTGGATGTCAGTTAAGGAATTACAAATTGAAACAAAAGAGAATATATTTAATAAAATATCTTAGATATCTGTTTTTCCATGGTTGCTCCTAAAAGATACCAAGTATTAACAGGTGCAGTAATTGTTTCTTTTCATTAATAACTCTAGATTTGCTCCACTAAGGTTGTATTGCGGATAGAGCAGAAAACAAAAAAAATACAAAGAACAATAAATGATTCATGGAACTCTAACTATAGCGATCCAAATGACTATGCAATGTGACTTAACACTCCCACGAGCAATCATGAGCTATATCACATGAAGCCTTACAATATTACAGATATGTATATGAATATTTACGTGAAAATAATACCTTCTAAGCAAACTGGAAGGAGTAGGACTTCTATTCTCCCAGTTCAGTAATGTCAACTCATACAAGTATTGTACCCAAAACAACCAGCCTTTTGAACTACCTTTTGACCCTTGTTCTTGGAAAACAGTTTCATTTTAATTTTTAGCTAAAAGAACGACTATCTTAATTTTTATCCCCCAAAAAACATCCCCTGATGGTACACAATGAAAAGACCCAAAAGTAAAATCAGCTAATTACATATGTTGCTTGGACTTGTGTTCAACAGAGGGTACATATAACTTATGTTTGTTCGAACTCTTCAAAAATGTCGCCGGGTGCTTAATCCACAAAAAGTAGTGCATTTTAGGAGGATCTAATACGGGTGCAACTAACATTTATGGAGAATCCGAGCAACATAGCAGATAACTAACCAGTTTTAATTCTCTTCCATATTTCCATCACCAGTAAAAAGGGAACTATTAGCATCTCTACAAAAGGACATTAACAAATATTCCATAACATCACAAAAATTAATTCCGTAATCAGAAAAAACATAAGCCCTTAAAAAGCAAATTAAAGTAGATTAAAAATTAAAACCTTAAGTTGAATGATTTTATTTGATACAAAACAAGTTCAATAACTTTAGTTTAAGATAAAGATAAACACCTAAAATACATAAATATACACAGATATTCAAAACGAAATAGAAATAAAGCAACACACCACACACGAACTTTAATTATACATAATACTGAGCAAGCGAAACGAATATTATTATGTTAATACATGGAAAGCATCGAAAAGGAGAGTTGGAAAAAAATACCTTAGAGGAAACATTGAGCCTCTTCATTCTGGAAGAGTTTTTCTTAGATGAAGACTTGTGTTCCCCCATTGTGTTCAGATTTACTTCTTCTTCTTCGTTAACAAAATCGGAACTGCAAAAAGCAAACCGCAGATAAACGAATCGCTAATTGCAATCAATATCGGAAAATCTGCAAATTGTTAATTCGGATTTAGGATGGTAAGGAGATTCGCTTGGTTTGGTGAAAGGATCTGGATGGTGCCCAACACAGTCAATTCAGATTAGCTTCCTGTCAGGAAATAAGCTTTAAACATAGCAACATCTTTAAAAAAGGAAACTGGCCTTCTACCAACTACAGCCGCTCAGAAAACTCCAGTCTACACCAAGCAACCATGCAAAAGTACAGATTCCATCCAGCATGTTTTGACTTGCTAAGTCGATAACTCATTTATGAAACTACGAAAATTTGAACTATAGTTGCTGATGACAACATACAATCTGGGCAGCCAGGCTAATCCAAGGAATCCAAAATCTTGAAAATAGATGGGCAAGAAGAATTCAAGCATAATACATATGTATGTACGTACAGTACATACCTCTGACAATTAAGCAAACCGTATAGCCTAAGTCAAACAGTCATGCTCAAATGCACATAATATCTAGCTGATGCTGATGCTGATGTAGAGCGAGCCATTGGAACTTGCAATCAACAACAACAACTACTTACCCAATGTAATCCTACAGGCAGGGGTCTAGAAAGGGTATAGTGTGTCAAATCATACGCCTAACTTTGGAGGTAGAGAGGTTGTTTCCTATAGACCCTTGGCTCAAGGATAAACATATCAAAGAAGATTGAAAAAGAAATAACAAAAGAAAAGAAACCATTAAAAAATACCATAGAAAGCATGACAAAGTATTTTGAATCAAATGTGAGAAGTTCCTACACGCCTCAGCCCTCAAGTGCATTTCTTTGCAATAGCAATTTATATCTATAACCCCCCACCCCCGAAATTTAAAGGAATAATAATAAGAATAAAAAAGGTTGCTACTTGTCTTTTTGGTGGCTTGTACTTTTTGTACCATCTTGGTAGTATTATTAAATAAACCCCTACAATGTCAAAAAGAAAAATGTCCGGACAGGCAATATCATTCATTCCACATATACTTGGTCACAAATGGCATTCTCTTTTTTTTTCTTTTTTGAAACTGGTAACTGGTCACAAATGGCATTCTGTTGAATAAAAATGACCGTATTGCCTATAACTCACTGAAAAAAGACGCAACAGGTTGTTAATGGTGACGTAACACTTAACCAATTAGGAGAAAAACCTATCAACTGCGTCCGAATGATGTGCCAAACATATTAATCAGCTTTTTCTCCCGACAACAGATACAGTAACGTACAAGCCCCAAAAAGAAAGCACCAGTCGTCATTCACGAATGGATGCAGGTTTATCGACAAATTAAATCACTTGTAAAACAAAAATACGGATTCATGAAATAGCAATGTATACTATCAATATAACGTTAGAGGCCACTCACACTTTATTGATCAGGTATGCTCTTCCACTTCTGCAATGTAGAGCCTGAATGAATAGCATTAAGGAGATTTTGTCAGACATAGTTGACCATTGCAAAATGGAATGCAATTTATGCAGCAAAGATGAAACATAATTTTCTCATGCAATATACCACGACAAAGAAAGTAAACTGATAATTCATACACAATGAGATAAAAGAAACTTCTTGAGTTCCAATGAATTTCACTTGCTTTGAGGATTCCAACTTACATCACCTATTGGTGCTAGACAATTTTTATGCATATATTTTACTTACGAGTGAAAAAAGGAGTACCTTTTGACCAAGGGAGGATCTACTAAGGGCTGAGGGGGTGCCACGTCACCAAAAAGCCTCATCCGAAACTCGGTACATATAAGTGTATATATAGAGAGAGAGAAAAAAAACTTTACAATAAAGAGTCAAGAGTGCCACTCGTTGATAAAATAATACCTGATGCCACAGGCAAAACTCCGGAAATTCCTTCTAGGTTGTGTCAGTTCGATTCCAGACCTCTACAGTACTTTAACTATTTTGTTTGCTTCACTGGACAATTAAGGAGTCAAGGCATTTCACCTATCTCCTCCTTTTTCTTAGTACTGATTCTTTTAGACTTAATTATTTAATTTAACGTTGTTTGATTTTTTCACTTGTTTTTGTTGCCTTCTTTCTATCCCCAAAATCTTTTCTTTCCTCTAAAAGAGAAGACAACCTTCCCTGTTTAAATAGCAAGATGTCTATGTTCAAAGAATAGTTGCATCCCAACACCAGGTCCCAAATGCAACTTTGCTTTTAGCACACGCAGCAAAGAAGAATCTACAATTGAGTTTTTATCTAAAAGAACGTGTTTAATGAGTTTCACGCTTAAACAAGAGAGGAGGGTTAATGTATGCTTGGCAACCAACATTAAACTTGTCAGATTCATGAACTTTTTCACCGAAACTTAACACTTCGTATTATTGCATCAAAAACTACGAAATTCAATGTACCCTTAGCATCATGCACGATCCAACTTGGGAAAAACCTCTCCCAAGAGATATCCTTCAAAAAAAAATAGAAAATCTAGCTAAACTATGAACTATTTTGTTCAAACATCTCTAAATATACATAAAATTGACATGATCCAACAAGCTTGAGAGCTTCCAAACATCTTCACACGTCACTGCTATCTCTCATGAAATAGTCACTCATTTCTGGATCTAATCAGCAACATTTTTTAGAGACAAATAAAATCTGCACTCTCTTCCATCAATAACTCAATTAACCATTTTCCTAATGGTCAATTCAAATTCATGATGAGAAATGACGAAATCGTAAATTTGACACTACTGAATTAACAAGAAAAGCATTACATTTGCACTAAACTACATAAAAATTACTTATTTACTACCTATAAAAAAGGTGAGATTTTCACTTGTAGGATATTTAGCCATGTCAAATGAAAGATCGGGATTTTACATAGCTAAATCTAGTCATTCAACAAAAAAATAAAAAATAAAAGGGGAAAAATTGTACCTTGGTAATAAGTTGATCAGCACGGGCAAGTTTGGTTTTGCAGAATTTGCAATTGAAGGTTTTGCCTTCAAGATCCTGAAAAAATAATCTCCCCATTTTCACTTCACTCGGCCTCAATTTCCCCAAAATGAAACCCTTCTTAAAGAAGGGATGAGAACACAAGGCTTATGAGGAGTTTTAAGGATTTGGTAATCAAGCCCACAGAAGTCTTAAAGAAAGGATGAAAACACCAAGGATTATCAGGGGTTTTAAGGATTTGGTATTAAGCCCACAGAAGTGAGTGTCAAATACCATAAAAAACAAAGTAGAAAACCGGCTTATTATTACATGCGACGCAGATTTTGTTTTATTAACTTCAACGCCACCTAATCCTATCTTTTAGAGCTGTTTAAATGTATAAAAAAGAGCTATCAGTGTTTTATTGCATAATACATAAATGTGTTTTTAATGTAGCTTAAGAAAATATTTATGCCTTTCAATTTTAATTATGTATAAATAGACACCTAAGCTTGTATAAATTAAACAAATAGATCCATTCGTCTTAGTATGGAAGACAAATTAAAAGATATATTTACATGTTATGCCTATTTTATTTGGACAATGCTTTGCAAAAGTATTTATAGCAATATTTTTAATCATAAGTATACTAGTTTATATTACTTTTTATTTATTACTCTTTAATCAGTAATAATTCTTTACTAATTAAATTAGAAAATTTAAAACATAGATATAATAAAAAAAATTCTTCAGACGTCAGGTATTTTAAGACGAGATTAATTTGTTAAAACTATAAATATTAGGAACCTTAAGTATTATATGCAAATGTCTATTAATCAAACTCAATTTTGTTATCGCTTCCTATTTACCAATATTAGTTGTATCTTGGCAAGTGGAGAAGCTCTCAAAATCTCTACCTTTGGAGCTAATACTATTTTCCTAGAACAACTTCATGAGTCACTGTTTGTGGAGCTAATACTAGCGTGTCTCTTTCGCTTCTTCTTCTACACTTCTCTCCCATAATCAAGAATCTTTCTATTTGACCTTTTTCTTTTCTTTAAAGGGGGTGAACCGTCACTGACATCTTGGCTTGAAGATATTCTTTGAGTTCTTTTCTACAGGTGTTCTATATCACGTGAGTACCTATGTCTTTTCCTAAAACAATCAACCTCTGAATCGGAGGACAAAGACTGTGGACTGCTAGAATAATCAGAGGAAGCAGAAGATCACGAGTCATCCTCAGAACTGGATAACTTCTTGGATTTGTTTCTTCTTCTTTTTCTCTTCCGTATCTAACCACACAACACATGAAGATGTGTAACGAAGGATAATAAATTGGAATTGATAAGAAAACAGGAGGTAACCTTACATTGTTCTATAGAAAGCATGCCTAATTTGAATTATAAATATAATGCAATAAAGAGTGTTCAAATTGTGCTGGGATGATTAAGCATTATATAGTCTTTCATAATTCTTTCTTCTGAGTGTCAGTTAACGAATTCCAAATTGAAACAAAAGAGAATGTATTTAATACAAGATCTAAGATATCTGTTTTTCATGGTGGCTTCTAAAAAATACCAAGTATTAAAAGGTGCAGATAATTGTTTATTTTGATAATTAATTCTAGATTTGCTCCACTAAGCTTATTTTGCAGATAGAGCAGAAAACAAAAAAAATACAAAGAACAATAAACGATTTATGGAACTCTGACTATAAGATTCAAATGACTATGCATTGTGACTTAACACTCTCACGGGCGATCATGAGCTATACCACATCAAGCCTTACCATATTACAGATTTGTATATGAATATTTACATGAAAACAATCCCTTCTAAGCAAACTGGAAGGAGTAGGACTTATATTTTCCCTGTTCAGTAATGTCAACTCATATTAGTATTGTACCCAAAATAACCAGCCTTTTGAACTACTTTTTGACCCATGTTCTTGGAAAAAAGATTCATTTTAACTTTTAGCTGAAAGAACGGCTAGCTTAATTTTTATCCCCCAAAAAACAACCCCTAATGATACACATGAAAAGACCCAAAAATTAAACCAGCTAATTACATATGTTGCTTGGACTTATGTTCAATATAGCTTATGTTGTTCACTCTTATAAAAATGCTGCCGTGTGTGTGCCGTACCCTCCGAAAGTAGTGCATTTTGGAATGATCCAACACGGATGCAACAACAATTTTGGTGAGTCTGAGCACATTTATTTTTTAATTCTCTTCCATATTTCCTCCACCAGTAAAAATGAAACTATTGGCATCACTACGAAAGGAAAACATTTACAAATATTCCATAACATCACAAAATTAATTCAGTAAACAGGTAAAAACATAAACACAAGTCCTTTAAAATCAAACTAAAGGTGAATTCTCATAATTCAATAACCTATAAAGATTATTGAAAATAAAAACCTAGGTTGAGTGATTTCATTTGATACAAAACAAAGTTCAATAAATTCTCATAGTTGAATGACATAAACCCTAAAATACATAACTATACACAGAAATTCAACGCGAAATAGAAAGAAAGCAACACACCATACATAATACTGAGCAAGCGAACGAATGTTATTATGTGAATAAACGGAAAGCATCGAAAAGTAGAGTTAAAAAAAAATACCTTAGAGGAAACTTTGAGCCTCTTCTTTCTGGAAGATTTTTCCTTAGATGAAGACTTGCGTTCTCCCATTCTGTTCAGATTTACTTCTTCTTCTTCATTAACAAAATTGGAATAGCAAAAAGCAAACCGTAGATAAACGAATCGCTAATTGCAATCAATATCGGAAGATCTGCATATTGCATCTTCGGATTTGGAAGAAGGAAAGGAGGTTCGTTTGGTATGGTGTAAGGATCCCCAACACACTCAACCCCATAGATATATCCATTATCTTAGCAACCTTCAAAATATTCCTTAACTTTAAGTAATTGAAATTCAATACACTTCCCCTCTCGTAATATCATTGAAATACTATCTTAAATTCTCACTAAGTATAATTTCAACACTTATGTTTTGTCCAAAAATTTGATATCACTTGCTAGTCTATTGTATGTAGAGGCTTGAGGGTGTATTTACATTTAGTTAATCGATTAAATGTAGTAAATAAGTATAAATATCAAAAAATTGAAAAACTGAACTAATTTAGTTCTTTGGTTTGGTGTCGGTGTTATTAATTAGGAAGTTCAGTTCTTCGATTCGATGTTGGGTCTAAAAACTTCGATGCACAAAAAACTGAGCTTTCATTTTAAAAATGATTGACTCCGTTGTAGACAATCTCTTAACTAAATCAATAATTAAATCATTCATGAAAAAATCAAAGTAACACCAAATATATAATTCAATAGCTAACGTGAAATATTAATTTTCAAAAGAAACTCAAACATATTTCTACCAATGTTATGTAAAGGAACAATTTTTCATACTTGTTTTAGTCGATAAATTGTTGGAGACACAAAGTTCCTGATAAAGATAAATATAATTGTTTAGTTAGCACAACAAGTGTTCCACGATAATACACATCATTCCTTAAAATAGTTTTAATTTCTAAGTATTTTATACTTTACTCTTATTTTATTTTTCATTCACACCCAATAACTAATTTAAAAATACCAAAGTAAATCGACCCGAACTGAATTAGTTTGATTTAATATACATTGCACACTTTTTTTTAAAAATGAAAACCAAAAAATCAAATCGAAGCAAAGAACTCAACACCCACTCATATTAGATGGTGTTTTTAAAGCTGTGAATGGTAAGGAGATGAAACTAATAATTTGCCCACATTTAAAATAGAATTTCAATACTAAAGAAAATGTATATCGCAAATCATATAGAGATATAAACAATGAACATTAATCAAGTTTATTAAATGAATGTGATCGAAAGGAAAGACAAAGCAACATCCTTTTTAGATTCTACGCGCACTATACCAACCTTAATCTAGTGAATGGGTAAAATTTAATCGCTATTTGAATATATGTATATTATTTACGACCTTCCTTTTTAGGATACCACACTCACTCCCTGCACTAACTGAAAGTGATTGGGTGAAATTTGATCCCTATATGAATATATATATATATATATATATATATATACACACACTTAGTTTACATCCTTTTTGAGATACTACACTCACTACACCAAACTCAATCGAGTGATCCGGTGGAATGTGATCCCTATTTGAGAATAAATATTTAGTTTTCCTTTTGACATGCTACATTCGCCACACCAAACTCAACCGAGTGATTGAGAATATCTATATTTAGTTTTTTTCTAAAAGAGTAAGCAAGTACATTCCTAAATAAAACATAACAAATAATAGAGAAAGCATAACGAACCATGCTGAGCAGAATAATAATTATAATGAAGGAAGCACAAAGAACATGTAAGACCACTAAATCATAACTTAAGTCAACCCATATTGATTAGAAAACACTTCTGCAGCAACTTAGTTTAAACATCCACAAACTTGAGGAGATCTCCAGATAAGATACAACTATTCTTTTGCTAAGTCTACAAGATACAAGTATCTGCAAATCGGTGCACTAAGCTCCCACAATTACACTGTATCTCCATCTTCATCATCACTTGAGCTTGAACGAGTATCAATGTAGAATTCAGAATCAAATTCACCCTCAACGATCCTGATCCTGTTGACACACAATATCAACAACATAGAAATGTTATACTAGGAACACTTCAAATGAGCGTATTGTTTTTTTATGATAAAATGTAATGCGAATTAATGTAACTATTTCTTTTACTATAAAATACAAAGAGGATGAGAGAGTAATAATACCCTTCAAGGACAAATTTCCCTTCCTTGTACTTCTGGCTTTCCTCATGGGATTTCACCTGTGTAAACAAGACAAATAATAGTCATTAATAGAACTATGCATACTACATATACTGTGTGAGTTTAACTTATATACACCAATTCATATCCCCCAAAAGACAATACAATGAACTTTATGTGTGTGTGTTCCCATGGTTGTATGTTTTGGCTCTACGTGTTGGTGCCTATGGACAAAAAAGAGGGAATGAGAGGGATTACATATTTCCAGCCAACAATCTGCCCACAGCGAACACAAAATATATCCATCACAGTGTGCATTCCAGAAAGCAACGTCCTCTCCTCAGCCTCTCCAAAAGTTATATTTACCCTGAATAACACAAAGAAAAAACGGTGAAAAACTCCATCATATGAATAGGAAAAGAAACATAATCTGATCAGGCCGAGGAAGGATAAAAGAATAGAAAATGGAGCTAACAACACACATCTCTTCCACAAATCAAGAAAGTCAAGCAAAGACCACCACTGAACTAGATTGTGCAGATCACCACTTACCAACCGTGACATAAACTAATCCATTCAACCCTAATTAAAAAACAAGCTTCTGCAGTAAGATGATTCAGCTTAGCTTCCTGTCAGAAAATAAGCTTTAAACATAGCAACATCTTTAAAAAAGCAAAGCGGTCATCTACCAACTACAGCCGCTCAGAGAACTCCAGTATACACCAAGTATCCATGCAAAAGTACAGATTCCATCCAGCATGCAGCATTGTCGTCTGTTTTGACTTGCTAGGTCGATATCTCATTAATGAAACTATGAAAATTTGAACTATGGTTGCTGATGACAGCATACAATCTGGACAGCCATGCTAATCCAGAAAAACGAGTCTTGAAAGTAGATGGGCAAGAAGAATGCCAGCATGCATACGTATGTGCGTACAGTACATACCTCGGACAATTGAGCAAACCCTATATCCAAATGTGGCCTAAGTCAAGCAGTCATGCTCAAATGCACATAATATCTAGCTGATGCTGATGTTGACCGAGCTTTTGGAACTTGCAATTAACAATAACTACTTACCCAGTGTAATCGTATAGAGGCGGGGTCTTGGGAGGGTAGAGTGTACCCAAACCATACGCCTACCTTGGGGGGTAGAGAGGTGGTTATAGACCCCCAAGCTAAAGGAAAAACATATCAAAGCAGATTGAAAAAGAAATAACAGAAGTAAAGAAATCATGGCAAAATACTATAGGAAGCATGACAAAGTATTTTGAATCAAATGTGAGAAGTTCCTATATGCCTCAGTCCTCAAGTGCATTTCTTTGCAGTAGCCATTTATAGCTATAACGCCCCACCCCCGAAATTTAAAGGAATAATAATAAGAACAAAGAAGGGTCGCTACATGTCTCTTTGGTGGTTTGCAGTAGCCATTTATAGCTATAACCCCCCACCCCCGAAATTTAAAGGAATAATAATAAGAACAAAGAAGGGTTGCTACTTGTCTTTTTGGTGGCTTGTACTTTTTGTACCATCTTGGTACTATTATTAATAAAACCTCTACCGTTCCCAAAAGAAAAATTGTCCGGACAGGCAATATCATTCATCCCACAAGTACTTGGTCACAAATGGTATTCTGTTGAATGAAAATGACTGATTGCCTATAACTCACAGAAAATAGACGCAACAGGTTGTTAATGGTGACGTAACACTTAACCAATTAGGAGAAACGCCTATCAACTGTGAGCGAATGATGCGCCAAACATATTAAACAGCACTTTCTCCCGACAACAGATACAGTAACGTACAAGCCCCAAAAAGAAAGCACCAGTTGTCACTCACGAATGGATGCAGGTTTATCGACAAATTAAATCACCAGTAAAACAAAAATACAGATTTATGAAATAGCAATGTATACTATCAATATGAAACTCACACTTCATTGAACAGGTATGCTCTTCCACTGCTGCAACGTAAAGACTGAATAAATAGCATAAAGGAGATTTTGTCAGACATAATTAAACATTGCAAAATGAAATGCAATTTATGCAGCAAAGAACAAAACACAATTTTCTCATGCTATATACCACGACAAAGAAAGTAAACTGACAGTTCATACACAATGAGATAAAAGAAACTTCTTGAGTTTCAATTAATTTTACTTGCTTTGAGAATAATGCTTGTTCAGTTTATTACATAAAGTATGGAATATTTTCCAAGGTAAAATCATTGGCCGTATAAAATAAGAAAACTCGTCGAGGGTATTTCTAAATGAATGATGTATATTTACAATATTGATAATATTATTGGAACCTTTATGCTTTGTCCAAGTTGTCATAATTGCTACATTATTCCCATCCGGTCGATTTATCTATATGAATAGAAAGAAAAAAAGAGACAAATAACCTGAACCGAAGCTCAAAGTTGATCAAACCAACCTAATATTTACTCTATTTGGAGTAGCTAAATAGCAAGATGTCTATGTTCAAAACAATGTCACACCCCAAACCTCCAAATCCCAAATGCAACTTTGCTTTTAGTACACACAACAAAAAAGAATCTACAATAAAGTTCTTATTTAAAACGACATGTTTAATAAGAGAAAGGTTAATGTATGCTTGGCAACCAACATAAAACTCGTCAGATTCATGAACTTTTTCACTGAAACTAAACAATCTGTATTATTGCAGCAACGACTACAAAATTCAAATGTACCCTTAGCATCATGCAGGATCCAACTTGGGAAAAGCCTCTGCCAAGAGATCTGCTTCAACAAACAAATAAAAAATCTAGCTAAACTATGAACTATTTTGTTCAAACATCTATGAATATACATAATATCGACATGATCCAACATGCTTGAAAGCTTCCAAGTGTCTTCACACATCACTTCTATCTCTAGTGAAGTAGTCACTCATTTCTGGATCATATCAACAACAATTTTTTAGAGTCAAATAAAATCTTCACACTACCATCCCTAACTCAATCAACCATTTTCCTAATGGTCAATTCAAATTCATGATGAGGATTGAGAAATTCATAAAAAAAAAATTGAAACTGAGACAAATTCGTAAAATTTGAAACTTCTGAATTAACAAGAAAAGCATTACATTTGCAGTGAACAACATAAAAACAACTCATTACTACCTATACAAAAGGTGAAATTTTTTATTTGTACCAAAAAGTGATCAGGATGTACCAAAAACCATATAAATTGAAAGATCAGGATGTACCAAAAACCATATAAATTGAAAGATCAAGATTTTACATAGCTAGATCTAGTCAATCAACCAAAAATAATTAAAAGGGGAAAAATTGTACCTTTGTAACAAGTGAACTAACGTGACCAAGTTTGGCATCGCAGAATTTGCAATTCCATGTTTTGCCTTCAGGATGAACCAAAAATAATCTCCCCATTTTTCACTTCACACAGCCTCAATTTCCCCAAATCGAAACCCTTCTTATAGAATGGATGAAGGTACAAGGCTTAGAGGGGTTTTGGATTTGGAGTTAAGCCAGAAGTGAGTGTTAAATTCCATAAAAACAAAGTAGAAAACCGGCTTATTTTTACATGTGGCGCATATTTTGTTTTATTAACTTCAAAGCCACCTAATCCTATCTTTTAGTGTTGTTTAAATGTATAAAAAAGATCTATCAGTATTTTATTGCATAATATATAAACGTGTTTTAAATGTAGGTTAAGCAAATATTTATGCCCTTCACTTTTAAATATGTCTAAATAGACTTTTAAACTTGTACAAATTAAATAACTAGATACATTCGCCTTAGATAGAAGACAAATTAAAAGATATATTTATTTATTAAGCCTACTTCATTTGGACATCGCTTAGCAAAAGTACTTAAAGTAATATTTTTAATCACAAGTATACTTGTTCATATTACCTTTTTATTTATCTCTCTTTAATCAGTAATAATACTTTACTAATTAAATTAAAAAAATTTAAAACTTAGATATATTAAAAAAAAATCTTTAGACGTCAGGTATTTTACGACAAGATTAATTTGTTAAAGTTATAAATATTTGGAACCTTAAGCAGTATATGCTTATGTATTTTAATTAAACTCAATATTATAATCGCTTTCTATTTACCACTATTAGTTGCATCTTGGCAAGTGGAAAAGCTCTTAGAATCTCTACCTACGGAGCTAATACTATTGTCTCTTTCGTACTTTCCTCCCATAATCAAGACTTTTTCTATTTGACAGTTTTCTTTCTTTACAGGGGTGAACTCTCACTGACATATTGGCTTGAATATCTTCTCCAAGTTCTTGTCTTCACGTGTTTCATATCACGTGAGTGCCTACGTTTTTTCCTACTATAATCAACCTCTGAATCAGAGGACAAAAACTGTGGACTGCTAGAAAGATAGAAAGAAGCAGAAGATGACAAGTCATCCTTGGAACTGGATAACCTCTTGGATTTGTTTTTTCTGCTTTTTCTCTTGTGTATCTAACCACACAACACGTGAAGATGTATAATGAAGGATAATAAAGTGGAATTACCAGCAACAAGACGAGAATGTATTGATAAGAAAACAGGAGGTAACCTTACATTGTTCTATGAAAGTATGCCTAATTTTAATTAAAAATATAATGCAATTTCTCATGAAAACATCTCCATGAATATTTGGGTATTAAATATATTCAATAACGAGTGTACAAAGCGTGTTGGCATGATCAAGCATTATAGAGTCTTTCATAGTTCATTATTCTGGATGTCAGTTAAGGAATTACAAATTGAAACAAAAGAGAATATATTTAATAAATGATCTTAGATATCTGTTTTTCCATGGTTGCTTCTAAAAGATACCAAGTATTAACAGGTGCAGTAATTGTTTCCTTTCATAAATAACTCTAGATTTGCTCCACTAAGGTTGTATTGCGGATAGAGCAGAAAACAAAAAAAATCAAAAAACAATAAATGATTCATGGAACTCTAACTATAGCGATCCAAATGACTATGCAATGTGACTTAACACTCCACGAGCAATCATGAGCTATATCACATGAAGCCTTACAATATTACAGATATGTATATGAATATTTACATGAAAATAATCCCTTCTAAGCAAACTGGAAAGAGTAGGACTTATATTCTCCCAGTTCAGTAATGTCAACTCATACAAGTATTGTACCCAAAACAACCAGCCTTTTGAACTACCTTTTGACCCTTGTTCTTGGAAAACAGTTTCATTTTAATTTTTAGCTAAAAGAACGGCTATCTTAATTTTTATCCCCAAAAAAAAATCCCCTGATGATACATACATGAAAAGACCCAAAAGTTAAACCAGCTAATTACCATATGTTGCTTGGACTTGCGTTCAACAGAGGGTACATATAACTTGTGTTGTTTGGATACTTCAAAAATGTTGCCGGGTGCTTAATCCACAAAAAGTAGTGCATTTTAGGAGTATCCGAGCAACATAGCAGATAACTAACCAGTTTTAATTCTCTTCCATATTTCCACCACCAGTAAAAAGGGAACTATTAGCATCTCTACAAAAGGACATTAACAAATATTCCATAACATCACAAAATTAATTCAGTAATCAGAAAAAACATAAGCCCTTAAAAAGCAAATTAAAGTAGATTAAAAATTAAAACCTTAAGTTGAATGATTTTATTTGATACAAAACAAAGTTCAATGACTTTAGTTTAAGATGAAGATAAACCCTAAAATACATAACTATACACATATATTCAAAACGAAATAGAAATAAAGCAACACACCACACACGAACATTAATTATACATAATACAGAGCAAGCGAAACGAATATTATTATGTCAATACATGGAAAGCATCGAAAAGGAGAGTTGAAAAAAAATACCTTAGAGGAAACTTTGAGCCTCTTCATTCTGGAAGAGTTTTTCTTAGATGAAGACTTGTGTTCTCCCATTGTGTTCAGATTTACTTCTTCTTCTTCGTTAACAAAATTGGAATTGCAAAAAGCAAACCGCAGATAAACGAATCGCTAATTGCAATCAACATCGGAAAATCTGCAAATTGTAGATCCGGATTTGGAAGATGGCAAGAAGGTTCGTTTGGTTTGGTGAAAGGATCTGGATGGTGCCCAACACAGTCAATCCCATACATATATTGTATGATTTATCCATGAACTTAGCTAACTGTGTTTATTTGTTTCATTCAAGAACTAATTTATGTTTTCAAACAGTAAGAGTCTCGTGTTCGTACAAGACTTTGAAAAATCTCTTTTTATATATTTTGTAAAAAATATTTTAAAGTTGTTGGTATTTTTAACCTTCTCTCGATTCTTTTATTAAAAGTTTCATATTTGCATAAGAGTTTGACACTATTTCCTTTGACATGTTATATCTATATGTAGTTAATCAATTAGATGCTGATTTTAAAGTTGTCAATAGTTAAGAGATGAAACTAATAATTGACTTTCATTTTAAAATAGAACTCTAATATTAAAGAAAATGTATATCGCGAATCACAAATCATATAGAGATATAAACTATGAACGTTAAGCAAGTCTATTCAATGAATTTGATCGAAAGGAAAGACCAAGCAACTTTCTATTTTAGATCCCACACTCGTTGTATCAACCTCAATCGAGTGATCGGGTATAATTTGATCGATATAATATATACATACATACATATATATATATATATATATATATATATATATATATTAATTTACAGCCTTCTTTTTTAGGATACCATACTCACTGCACCAAACTCAATCGAATGATTGGGGTGAAATTCAATCCCTGTTTGAATATATATGTAGATAGTTTACATCCTTATTGACATACTACATTCGCTACATCAAACTCAATCCAGTAATCAGGTGGAACTTGATACCTATTTGAATATATGTATATAGTTTACATTTTTTTAATATACCACACTCGCTACACCAAACTCTATCGAGTAATCGGGTGAAATTTGATCCCTTTTGAATATATGTACATAGTTACATTTTTTTTAGATACTACACTTTTTTTTTTAGATACTACACTTGCTACACTAAACTCAATTGAATGATCAGATGGAATTTGATCCCTATTTGAGAACATGTATATTTGATTTTCCTTTTGAGGTACTATACTCGCCACACCAAACTCAATCGAGTGATTGGCTAAAATTTGAACCCTATTTATACATATATATATATATATATATATATATATAATTTTTTTTCTTAAAGCGTAAGCAAGCACATTCCTAAATTAACATAACAAATAATATAGAAAGCATAACAAACCATGCTGAGCAGACTAATATACAATAAAGGAAACACAAAAAACATGTAAGATAATTAAAACATTTACTTTATCGATTATAAAACACTTCTGCAGAAACTTAGTTTCTGTATCCACAAACTTGAGGAGAACTCCAGATAAGATACAACTTTTCTTTTGCTAAGTCTACAAGATACAAGTGATCTGCAAATCGATGCACTAAGCTCCCACTGTTTACATTGTATCTTCACCATCACTTGTGCTTGCTCGAGTATCAATGTAGAATTCGGAATCAACTTCTCCATCAATGATCCTGCCTCTGTTCCACGCGCATTATCAACAACAAAGAAATGTTATGTTAGGAACACTTGAAACGAGCATATTGTTTTTTACGATGAAGTGTTAATGCGAATTAACATAACCTTTTTTTTTTACTATAAAAATATAAGTGGGGGAGAGTAATGAACCTTTCAAGGACAAATTTCCCTTCTTTGTACTTCTGGCTTTTCTCATGGGCTCTCTCCTGTGTAAACGAGACACAAATATTTAGTCGTTCATAGAACTAAGCGTTACATATAACGTGTGAGTTTAGCTTATATACACCGACTCATATCCCTCAAAAGCTAATATAAGGGACTTTTGTTGTGTGTTGCCATGGTTGTATGTTTTGGCTCTACGTGTTGATGCCTATGGACAAAGAAGAAGGAATAAAAGGGATTACATATTTCCAGCCAAGAATCTGCCCACAGCAACAACAAAATATATCGTTCACAGTGTGCGTTCCAGAAAGCATCGTCCTCTCCTCGCTCTGTCCAAAAGTTATATTTACCCTGCATAACACAAAGAAAGAAAGGTGAAAAATTCCATCATATGAGTTGGAAAAGAAACATAGTCTGATCAGGCCGGGAAAGGATAAAAGAACAGAAAATGGAGCTAACAACAAACATCTCTTGCAAAATCAAGAAAGCCAAGTAAAGAAAACCACTGAACTAGTTTATTTTATTTGAAATTTGAAAATTTGAAGTTCTCAAAATAAATTGTGCCCCTGGTAAGAGATCATCACTTCCCAACCATGACATAAACTAATCTGTTCAACCCCGAATTAAATAACCAACTTCCACTGTAAGACAATTCAGTTTAGCTTCCTGTCAGAAAATAAGCTTTAAACATAGCAATATCTTTAAAAAGGTAAAGTGGTCTTCTACCAACTACAACCGCTCAGTCCTCAGAAAACTGAATCTACAATAAAAGTACAGATTCCATCAGCATGCAGCATTATCTTCCATTTTTAACTTGCTAGGTTGATATCTCATTAATGAAACTATAAAAACATGAACTATAGTTGCTAATGACAACATTACATCTGGATAGCCAGTCTAATCCAGGGAAACCGAAGTCTTGAAAGTATATGGGCAAGAAGAGAATGCAAGCATACATACGTATGTATGTATAGTACATACCTTGGACAACTGAGCAAACCCTATATTCAAATGTGGCCCAAGTCAAATAGGTATGCACAAAATAACTAGCCGATGCTGATGATGAGCGAGCCCTTGGAACTTGCAACTAACAATAACAACTACATAGCCAGTGTAATCCCAAAGAGGGGTTTGGGGAGGGTAGAGTGTACCCAACAATACGCCTACCTTGGAAGGTAGAGAGGTTGTTTCCTATCGACCCTCAGCTCAAGGAAAAAACATATCAAAGCAGATTGAAAAAGAATAACGAAAGTAAAGAAATTATGGCAAAATACTATAGAAAGCATGACAAAGCATTTTAAATCAAATTAAATGTGAGACGTTCCTATATGCCTCAAGTGCATTTCTTTGCAAGAGCCATTTATATCTATAACCTCCCACCCCAGTAATTTAAAGGAATATTAATAAGAACAAAGAATGGTTGCTACTTGTCTTTTTGGTGGCTTGTACTTTTGTACCATCTTGGTACTATTATTAATAAAAAATCTACCATTTTAAAAAAAAATGTCCAAACAGGGAATATCATACATTTCAAGATACTTGATCTCAAATGACATTTTGTTGAATAAAAATGAGGGTATTACCTAAAACTCACTGAAAATAGACGCAACAGGTTATCAGTGGTAACATGACACTTTACCAATTAAAAGAAACACCTATCCACTGCTTCCGAATGATGCGCCAAACATATTAAACAACACATTCTCCCGACAACAGATATAGTAACGTATAAGCCCCAAAAAGAAAGCACCAGTTGTCACTCATGAATGGATGCAGGTTTACTGACAAATCCAATCACTTGTAAAGCAGAAGTACTGATTCATGAAATAGCAATGTATACTATCAATCTGATGTTAAGAATAATTAGAGGCCACTCACACATTATTGAACAGGTATGCTTTTCCCCTGCGGCAATGAAAAGCCTGAACAAGATAACATAAAGGAGATTTCGTCAGATATAGTTAAACATCGCAAACTGAATTGCAATTTATGCAGCAATGACGAAACACAATTTTCTCATGAAATAAACCACAACAAAGCAAGTAAACTAACAGTTCAAACACAATGAGATAAAAGGAATTTCTTAAGTTCCAATTAAAGTTTCAACTAATTTTACTTGCTTCGAGAATTCCAACTTATGTCACCTATTGGTGCTAGACAATTCTTATGTATATATTTTACTTATGAGTGAAAAAGGGAAATGTTTTTAACCAGGGGCGGACCCACATGCACCCGGTAATTTTTTTCAAAATCGAATATGTATGTATAGACAGTTGATTAAACGATAATATATATAATTGTGTACCCTAACAACCAAAAGTTGTTGTGGGTGCACTGGTCGAATGCGCCTATGAAGCGCAAGAGCGCGGGATCGAATCCCGCTGAAGGTAAGCATTTACTTTAAATCTTGGTTTTCTAGAAAGTCTACGCTTACAGAATTAAGGTCCTACTCTCATTGTTGATTCCTGTGATTCACATAATTCTTGTTAACTAAGTTCTAGTTTTAGAGACAATTCTTCGCGTTTTATAGATGAATTTGATTTCAATCACTTACATTGGATCTAGGAAAAAGGATATCCATTGTAAATTATAGCCCAACAATACGAGATGAAGTAAGAAGACATATATTCAACAAGGCCCTTGTCAACCGGATATTCTTGATAAAAAGTGAATTGTACTTCTTTCAACTTTTTTTTTATTTTTTAATTATATTGTTCAATATTGCTTAAAATGAAATAAATTAATAAAATTCACTATTAAAATTTATTGGGGCCTCAAAATTTTGGAGGCCTCAGCAGGGTGCTCCGCTAACCTTACTCTTTAGTCACTCCTAGCCTTATCCTTGAGCCACTCTTCATGGTGCCCCCCTATCTTCAACTACTGGATTCGCCTCTGCTTCTAACCAGGGGGGCGGGGGATCAATCAAGGGCCGAGGGGGTGCCATGGCACCCACAAGGCTCCCCCGAGACTCGGTATATATAGAAAGAGAAGAGGAGGGTCAATGTATGCTTAGCATCCAACATAAAACTTGTCAGATTCATGAAATTTTTTCACCGGCTCTGAACACTTCGTATTATTGCATCAACAACTATAGGATTCAAATGTACCTTAGCATCACATACAACTCAGCTTGGGAAAAACTTCTCCCAAGCGATCTCCTTCAACAAACAAATAGAAAATCTAGCTAAACTATAAACTATTTTATTCAAACATCGCTGTATAAACATACAATCGACATGATCCAACATGCTTGAGAGCTTCCAAACTTCTTCGCACGTCACTTCTATCTCCCATGAAGTAGTCACTCATTTTTTACTCATATCAAGAACAATTTTTTTAAGAGTCAAATAAAATCTTCACACACTTCCATCCCTAACTTGAATCACCCATTTTCCTAATGCTTAATTCAGATTCATGATGAATCCTCAATCCTCATAAAACTTGGAAGAACATTTGAAACTCACGAATTAACCAGAAACATGTTACAATTGTACTAAACCACATAAAAATTATTCATTTACTAGCTATAAAAGCTCATTTTAAAAAACAAAACCAAAAAAAAAAAAGAAAAACTATAAAAGCTGAGATTTTTACTTGTACCCAACCGTGATATATAACCATATGTCAATGAAAAATCAGAATTCCATAGCTAAATCTAGTAATTTAACCACAAAAAAGAACCAAAAAATAAAAAAAGGGGGGAAATTGTACCTTTGAAACAAGATCATCAGCCAGACCAAGTTGGGTTTTGCAGAATTTGCAATTGTAAGTTTTACCTTCAAGATCCACCAAAAATAATCTCCCCATTTTTCACTTCACACAAACTGCAGCTCAGCTCCAATTCCCTAAAACTGAAACCCTTAAAGATGAAAAGAACAAAGGTTTATTGAGGGGGTTTAAGGATTTAGAATTTAACCCATTGAAGCGAGTGTCAAATTCCACAAACAAAGAAATTAGAAAACCGACTTATAATATATGGAGCAGATTTTATTTTGTTAATTGAAAGTCACCTTATTCTATCTTTTTGTACTGTTTAAAAGTATTTTAAAAAAAAGCTATTAATATTTTATTGGAGTACTTTTTTAAAAGGTTTATTGCACCTGATTACTAATTAAGAATATTATTATAGATTTTATTTCGTTAAACTTTAAAATGGCCTAATTATATCTTTTAGTATTGTTTAAATATATAAAATAGAGATATTAATATTTTACTGGATTAATTTTCGACTCGTTCATTGCACGTGATTAGCAATTTAGAAAATATATGTTATAATAAATAAATCGCTTATTATTACATGTGGCAGAGATTTTTTTTGTTAAACTTTAAAACCGCCTAATCTTATATTTTAGTATTGTTTAAATGTATGAAAAAATTATTAATATTTTATTAATTTAATTTTCGACACGTGCATTGCACATGATTATCACTCAAAAAATATATGTTAAATAAAATTGTTTATTATTAAATGTGGTGTAGATTTTATTTTGTTAAATTTCAAAACGATCTAATCCTATCTTTTAGTGTTGTTTAAATGTATGAAAAAAATTATTAATACTTTATTGGATTAATTTTTCAAGATGTGCATTGCACATTATTATCATTTTACAAATATATGCTATAATAAATAAAATTGCTTATTATTAAATGTGGTGTAGACTTTATTTTGTTAAACTTCAAAACGATCTAATCCTATCTTTTAGTGTTGTTTAAAATGTATAAAATAGAGCTATCAATATTTTATTGGACTAATTTTTCGACAAATGTGTTACACATGATTGTCAATTCAAAAAATATATGTTATAATAAATAAAATTGCTTATTATTACATGCGGCGTTGATTTTGTTTTGTTAACTTTAAAGCTACTCAATCCTATCTTTTAGTGTTGTTTAAATGTATAAAAAAGAGCTATCAATATTTTACTAGACTAGTTTTTCGACACATGCATTGCACATGATTACCATTTAGAAAATATATATTATAATAAATAAAATCACTTATTATTACATGTGGCGTAAATTGTATTATGTTTTTTTAAATCATTTATTCTACAATTTTTCATCTATTTTTTCTTTCACTTTTCTTTTTTTATTCCTCTTTTATTTTGATCCTGACAAATTAATTTTTCAGATTTGAGGATGCAATCTTCATGCCATCATTTTCTTTGAGCTTCACCGTAGTTATGAACACCGGTAAAATTTTGATGCTCTCTATTGAAGCTAGAATTTGACTATGTTGAGCAATTCATTTCGATTATTGAGTCTTTTTTATTTATGAGTTTGTCTTCTATCATTGATAAATTCTACTCCATTGAAGGATCAAGGATATTTCTTCCACCTATACAATCAAGGCCATTTCTTCTTATATAATCGACTGGTGGTTGCTGCTCAAGTTACTAAAATCATTATTGGGTGTAGTTTAAATTTTTCATCGAACAATAATAGAGATTAAAAATAAGATCTAAAGGTTGGTGAATTTTATTAGAGTAAAGAGATTAAAGACGATTTAATCTTATTCACTATATGAATAATAATCTTAAAGCTTATTTGGTGATTTCGATAGTGATCTATAGTGTTACAAATTATGAATAAATAGTGAGACAAATAATGAAAAAAGTATTAAAAGATAGGTGAAGAGAGTTGCTATGATAGCGGACTAGTGGTGATTCAACAATGGTAATGAAGAATATGTACACATAGGTGATTTTTTGAGTGATGAGAGAGAGGAGGAGAGAGAGAAAATTAAATAAAAGACAGAAGTAAAATAATTTTGCAAAAAAAAGTCAAAACATTTTATAATGTATTTTTATCAATTTTTTCAACTCTCATGTACCTTCAAGAGAGTGAGCACACTTTCTATGTCATGTCAGCACTTAAGGGTATATTTATATAACTTTAAAACAGTTTAAGGGTAATAGAATCTCGATTAAATATAAGTGTATAATTGATAATTCAATTATAGGTTGAGGGTGTATTTAACCATTTACTCATCAATATTTTATTGGACTAATTTTTCGACATGTGCGTTGCACGTGATTACCAATTTAAAAAATATATGTTATAATAAGTAAAATTCCTTGGTGTATACTTTGTTTTGTTAAACTTCAAAGCCACATAATCCTATCTTTTAGTGTTGTTTAAATGTATAAAAAAGAGCTATCAATATTATACTGAACTAAATTTTTCGACACGTGATTATCAATCAGAAAATGTATGTTATTATAAATAAAATTACTTATTGTTGCAGTGATGTAGATTTTGTTTTGTTAAACTTCAAAGCCACCTAATCCTATCTTTTAGTTCTATTTAAATGTAAAAGAAGTTATTAATATTTGTACCTCACATTTTCTAAACTTCGAACTCATTCAACGACAATAAATCGGATGAAAAATTTTAAAACACAAGGAGATGAAGAGTAGAAGATTAAAAAAATTGTGATTGAATAATGAGAGAAAATCTCTCTATTTATAGTCAACAAAAGGTAGCATGAACAAGTGGTTTTTGTGTCTTATTTGAAAAGTCATGACATGTCCGACAAGACACAACCCTTTGAAAAAATCACGACTTATTAGAAAAGTCACAACTCATTGAAAAAGTCACAACCTCAAGAGAACATATGCTTTTCAAACAAATATAGATTGATATTCTAAGTTAGGAATATTATAGTAATTTAACATTCAAGTTAAGAGTTCGTGTTGTTAAAATAATATAGAAGATAATACATAAACGTGTTCTTTAATTTGATTTATATAAATATTTGTGTCCTTTAATTTTGAATATACACCATTATACTCTTAAATTTATAATATAAAATATAAATACTTTTCATCTTATAAAAATTAAAAGATAACATTTAAATTGTTTATTTTTTTGGACATCATTTTGCAACGGTATATAGATTACTATTATTAATCATAAGTATATTGTTTATATTATGTTTTATTTATTTCTCTCGAAATGACTTATATAATCACTAGTAATACTTTACTAATTAAATTAAAAAAGTTAAAACTTGAATATAATAAGTAAATATTTTTAGATGTCAGATATTTTAAGACAAAATTAATTTGTTTATCTTATGTTTTCTTTACTTCTCTCAAAATGACTTATTTAATCACTAGTAATACTTTACTGATTAAATTAAATGATTAAATTAAAAAAGTTAAAATTTGGATATAATAAGTAAATTTTTTTAGATGTCAGATATTTTAAGACAAAATTAATTTATTAAAACTATAATAATTTGGAACCGTAAGGAGTATATGCAAATGTATTTAATTAAACTCAATTTTGTTATCCTTCTTATTTAGATTTTAGAAGAAACTCGATCATGAAGCAGGTGTTCTCATTAATTTATTATTCAATATACTATACAGTTTTTATGGTAGGCGGAATTTAATGTACGAAAAAAAAAAACATTGTGTACGTGGGTTCATATTTACAAAGTAAATATATAATTGTTAGTAAAAAGATATGTAAAGAAAATACATCGACTCATCAAGTTTTTATTAGATCCACACAAGGAAAAACACTCTAATTTAAACACTCTAATTTAAGTTATACACTCTATATATAGATTTTTTATACTATTAGTGTGTTCTAACGTCCCAAAAATGTTCATTTGAAGATTTATTTCTCACGAACTCTGAATTCTAAACAACATGCCCGTTTGTTATCCCATAAGTGGAGTTTCTGTAATCCCACAAGCGGAGTCGGAAAACTCTGAAATCTAAACATCAACAACATTATTTTCAAGAAACAAAATGAAAGTACACATAATTACTAACTGAAGAAACAAAAGAGAAGTAGAAATTGATTGCACAAAAAGGTCATATACAATATCAAGAATGAAAAATATCTGATCATACTCTAGGAAGTTGAATTCTCCACAAGATGTCACTGCTTTACATTGAATATGAAAAATATGGATTGACATCAAGCTGTGGCTACAAGATCAGGTTCAGTGGCTGGAGCAGGAACATACCAGCCATGATGAATCTCAACTGCTTTCTTTCTTCTAGCAAGACGAGATTTTCTTCTCGCACCAGTGTTCCTGTGAAGTGTTCCAACTTTAACTGCTTTATCGATTGCAGAATATGCCTCTGCAATCAACTTCTCAACTGAAACAACTTCCTCTGACTCTGCATCAGTTTTCTTCCTCAATGTCTCCAATGCTTCCAAAACCTAGAAAAGAACAAAGGTTAGGTTCCATATGCTGAGATGAAGAAGCCGGTGATAGCTTATATCTTTTTCTCAATGTGTTTATACGCGTTTCTTAAAATGCTTCTTCTTATCTTCCTCTAATTTATTAATTTCATCATGTAAATGCAGCAAAGTACAGTCCATGAAAGTTGACTTATGCCCATAATCTATCTTTTATCAAAAGATCCATGAGTCTGTTGAGTTTATTTCTAAGGTCGGGCATATGGAACTTAATCAACATTACTTTATTTAGCAATGACAATAATTTCATTACAAACTTCTCAGAATAGCAAATCTTCATCACTCTCAAATACACCATTAAATCTCCACTAATCAGTCAAGTACAACCAAATCTTGGTTCAAGTTCAAGTTTCCGTTCAGAGAAAAACAGCTCTTGTTAGTTACTGACCCTTCTCTTCTCTTATTATAGTCTGCAATTTTTATCTATTCGTCAATTCACTTCAACGGATGGTGCAAGGGCATATCAGAGTAGCTTCTTACATCTCTTTGTCTTAAAAACTAAGTAATACAAGGGCTTCATCTATCTAAAAATCTTCAATTTGTTCAGTCATACAAATTCTGGGACCACCTAGCCTAGTGCACCGTGTGTCTATAACTGGAGGTAACAAAAGACTAAATTATGAAGGGGAATTATCTCCACATCCTGAATATCAATGACCCTGACAAACAATATTCCTCTTCAGGACTCTGAAAATTAGGAAAAAGGTGAACGGAAGGAAACCAAATGAAAGCAAATATGCTGACTCCATAAGAGAGCTCTAATAGCCGCCAAATAGGCCTAAACAATTGAAGCTATGAGCCAGCCTCAAAAGCTAGAGCTTGAAGCCATGCTGACTGCAGAATCATGACACTCCACTGCAACCCAAGGCACAACACTAATCTTTGAGGTTATTGTATTTAATTTTTCATCTTGATCCAATAGATTAGGATATATTTCACATTATTATCTAATAGACAGGATTAGCTAAAATGAAACTGAAGGTAGTATTTGCAGCTTCAGAGAGTCGTCTAAGAATAATACATGACTGAAAATGGTACTTTGCTCCAAAATTATAACCTTCAGTACCTTAGCATATATTCAAGATACATGTCTAAGAGCAGAGAGTAAGTGCAAAAGGTAATTATTTTGACAAATGTTTAACTCATATTTTAATGAAGGACAACAGAAACCATGCAAGAGTTGCTTAGCACAAATTCCCAATCCTAATGCTTCGCTATTTTATTGAAATTAACTCGGTTTATTCTCTGCAGTTCCAATTTTGACCCTACTTTTGCCTCAAAGATCCAAAACTCATCAGCAGTTTATTGTCTCAACAGTTACGGGAAAAATAGTGACTAAGACCTTAAAGATCAAAAAGGAAAAAAGATTGACATAAAATGGACTACTACCCCAACTCTGCACTCATCCACTCGCTCTTCCGTTGTTCGTTGAAAAATTGAATAAGACTTGGTGTACCATATGACACACATCCGAAGATGAGACCTAGAGAATATTAGACATGCACTCAAATAAAATAAATTAACAAACATCAGAACTTAAGAAAATCTCAATGCTAAATCATTTCACGGAGCAGGTTCACATAAAATAGGGACTCTATGTAAATAAAGCTCTTCCTCAAATTGAGTTTTCTCTACTTCCATAGAGAACTATCAAACTCCATTAACACTCCAAACTAAAAGACAACACGCAGTATCATTGAAGATTCTATGTGTCCATTCATACAAAATTCAGCTAGGAGGACCAACGGAACAATTTTAAATAGTCAAAGAAAAAGTTACTCCGACAATCCATCAAAATGCTTGCCGTGATATATTACTGACTAAACAAGTACATAATTTCATCTAGCTTCTACAAGTATTTTGGAAGGGACACAGGTTGATCAATTCTATTGTCTCATGGTAGACGTATTCTGCACACAATTCTTACTCCATTTCAATGTTCCTTTAATTATTTACAGAATTCATTCAAATCTTTAGATTAACTTCAACCAAACCGAGAAGCAAGGAGGGATTTCTTTGCCTAGCCTATCTCGACACCACAAGTGAAACTAAAAAGGAAAATATCAATTGCACAATACCACATTACAGAAGAACACAACAAGCATGTTATATAAAAATACTAATAGGAACAATGCAAAACCAACAAATTAGTTGACAGTTCGAACTTCAAACTAATAACTAAACATAATTAAACCCAAAAGTGAAAGCAACTTACAGTCTTAATTCTAGTCCTGACTTCAGATTTTTTAGCCTTGTGGTAAATTCTCCTCTTTTCAGCTTGTCTTGCCCTTTTAGCAGCAGAATCCGCTTTCTTTGTTGGAGCAGCTTCACAAACAATGGAACGACGAAACGGCATTTGCACCGGATTCACTGAAACAGTCCCTGCAATTCAAAGAAAATCAATAGGACCATAAACTCTAAATTCTACTAACCAATTTGAAATAACTTCCTTTTTTTGAAAATATTGGAAGATCCCCAAAAAAAAAATTTCCATACTGATTAAGCTTTGAAAAATCAAAATAAAAGATAAAAATGGATTCTTGAACTGATGGGTTCATTGTAGATGAAGTTCATACCTTTAGAGAACAGATTGAGAGAAGTGTTAGCAGAAAAACTGAGTGACCTAAATGCATCAGCATGTGGTCCATTGAGAGAAAGGGTGTTGAATTTTGTAGAAAAACTCAAACAAGAAGAAGATAAGCAAGCTCCTGCCATGGCTTTTTTTTTCTGTATTTCTCACACTCTCTACAACAACAGCAAAAGCTGAAGAACTTTGCACTAATTGGTATCCCATCTTATCCTCAGAGTCTTATTTTCTTTTGATTTTGATTATGGGCTTGTGTTGGTGGAGGCTGATGTGTTATGTGGGCCAATTTTTTTAGCCCAACAACAAAAAAAAGACCCAACTAATTGCAAAAGAGATGACATCACTCCATTATCGGGGTGATTTACAAGAATGACCTTTAAAGTAAGTGATTTTGAACTTTTGAGCCGCGATTGCACTTTTAAGTTTTAACAAGTTGTGATCCACAAGCAAGAGTCTAAGTGGCGACTGTGAAGGTTAGCCCACGGGATAACCCGGGAATAAAAGTTCCAAGACCAAGTATCATAAAAACGGACATTTTGCCTGTCGCTCAGAATTGTCTCGAAATAATCTGCTGAAATGCAGCAACTTCTATTATATTCACACTTCAAATTTTACATATTAAGCACATTTGAAACAATGACAACAACATATCTATTGTAATGCCGTGTCTAGTAAGATGGGGTCTAGAAAGGGTTGGAGTAAACAGACCTTATCTGCACCTTTGGAGAGATAAAAAATTATTTTCAATAAGACCCTCAACTTAAACCCATGTCTAGTAAGATGGGGTCTAGAACAGGTGGAGGTACACATACCTTATCAGCACCTTGTGAAAGGTAGAAAAAATGTTTTACAATAAGACCCTCAACTTAAAAATTTAAAGATGGTTTTAAAAAATACAAAAATGCTGAAGAGAAGAGTATTGACAACAAAGTAATAAAGATACCTAAAGTGAAGAGCACAACAGTAATAAAATACGATAATAGTGGCACGTAGTAGAGCCAACCAAAACACAGATTTTTCAGCTCAACTTGGCTCATCTAAGTTAGCTCGAGTTCATATATTTATCAATTCCGCATGACAAAGCAGTGAATCTCTTGAATGGGATCTTTGGAAGTGAAAAAGGCCAGTGAACTCGAATAGCTAAAACCCAACTTTAGCAGTTAGCACCAAATGCCTACACACATAGTATACAATCATTGTTGCTGTTTGCCTACAGAAAAGGGAACATTTTACAAGGGAAGTGACAAGCAACTTGATAAAATATGTACTACCAGGGGTTAACATCTTAAAATTGATACGTCATGGCTGAAATTAACACTTGTAAGATAGTTTCTAAGATGTTGAGAAGACTAAAATCTCTGCTCAGTCATCACTGCAGGTTGTGCTTCAGAAAGCTTTCTTCCTAGATAAGGACCTCTGCTGATAGCTTGCTCCAGCTGCATAAAGCACATTATTATATTACAAATGTAGGAAAGCACACTGTCTACGGGAGGAGAAAGGAACAGAAAATTAAGAATCTTCGATGAAACAAACACTGTCACTTGGGCTATCAGTCATCGACCATCTTAAAATTTACTTGGGCTAAAAGACTGTATTTATGAAGATTAACTTGGACTTTCTGTAAATTATATCTCATTTCTTTCGCTCAACTATTGCTATCATCGTGGCTAAACTCATTTTTTTAATTTCACGTGCAGTTGACAATACAATAGGCATATTCACTTCATGAAATATCTGACTTCTTCAATAAATAAATAAATGGGCAAATGCACCAACTTGACCAGGCAGTGTTGGTTGGTCAATAACTTGCACGTTCAAAAGATGAAAGTAGCAAAAATGAGGATGTTGAGATGGATGTGTGGGCATACTAGGAGAGATACCATTAGAAACGAAGATATTTGGGACAAGGTCGGAATGACCTCCATGGTGGACAAGATGAGATAAATCAAGTGAGGCTGAGATGGTCTAGTCATGTGAAAAGGAGATGCACAGATACCTCAGTGGGGAGGTGTGAGAGGTTGACCATGGTAAATATGAGTAGTAGTAGAAGTAGGCCGAAGAAGTATAAACAAGACATGACACACCTACATCTTACCGAGGGCAAATTTCAAGGGAGCATGACTCACTTGTTAGGCTTTTATGTATTTTCTTCTCTATGACCCACCTAGGCACCGTGACTACCATATAAAGTGAAACAACTGAAAAGTAGACCCTTCCCCTAGTTTTATGCTCATTAAAGTAAACTTTAAAGAAGACATGACCCTAGATAGGAGGATATGGAGGTCGAACAATACGATATAAGGTTAGTAGGTAATATAATGTTGTCTAGTTTCCCTATCAATATTTTATTATGATTTATTACTATTATTCTTTGATTTCAGTAATACTTGTTGTTTCCTTTGATTCAGTTATCATATTATTTGTTGATGCTACTATTCCCTTCTCAATTATTTTTAAGTATGTCTTCTTCACTATTGTATTTGTCTTACATACTTGATCTTTGATATGTGTTACTTGAGCTAGGTCTATCAGAAACAACCACTCTAACCTTGCAATGTAGGGGTAGGGCTGCATAAACATCACCCTCTACAAACTCCATTGTTTCCTTTGATTCAGTTATCATATTATTTGTTGATGCTACTATTCCCTTCTCAATTATTTTTAAGTATGTCTTCTTCACTATTGTATTTGTCTTACATACTTGATCTTTGATATGTGTTACTTGAGTTAGGTCTATCAGAAACAACCACTCTAACCTTGCAATGTAGGGGTAGGGCTGCATAAACATCACCCTCTACAAACTCCACTTGTGGGATTACATTGGGTATGTTGTTGTTGCAAATTCACTGCAATACTTGCACAAAGAAAAGTAAAATGCGAAAAAAAAGGTTGAACACCTGACATGCTTGTCAATATCTATAGTTAGTCGGTGAAAATAAGGACACGTCAGACTTCTATAACATGGAACAGTAGGATTGAAGACCAATCCCATCTCAGATCCACAATGAACTACAAGTAATCTATAAAGATTTGAACACAAGTGATAGAAATCAGGAAAGACGCACCTTTGTAGCTATACCCGAAAATGCATTGTCAGCTATCAGTTTACTAGATGAGGTGAAAACTTTGTAGATTGACTGGCAACATTTGTGTCTAGCTTCCATACCTGAACATTAATGAACTTCAGGAAAAGCCAAACTGCTTCAGAAAGGCTCACAGTTATTTTCTCAACATATAATTGCTCTTCAGGCGGTTAAACCATGTCATCAATGATACTTATGGCATCATTTTAGGAAAGAACCCAAATATACTGGGTTTGGGCCTTATGATTCCAGCTGTTGCATTTTCGGCCATTCAATTCGTTCTCTTAAAAGCTACATGTTCAACCCTTTATCTACGGGAAGTCATCAAGAGTTTTCTTTATATAAAAAGAAATTGTGATGGACACAAAAAGAAGAAAATGTTGCAATTGAAACCAGGTAAACTTTTGGTGATTCTGAATCTCTATATAACTGGAAAGGATGTTCATGCACGTATACCATAGTTAAAAAATAAATATTGCTCGAGCTTTACAAATGTATATTTGTAAACAAGAACATGTATTATGTGAAATAGTTACAGTTTTACAATAGAATGCATATAAGATATTGCTTAGCCAGGTTAGTTGAAAAATCAATAGCTGATGATGCAACTTTATTAGTACGGAGATATGGTAAGTTAAAGACTATTTGTTAATGGAATTGTCAGGGTAAAGGATGAACAGACAATTAAAATAAGAAATATACTATCTTGCAGTTTCACATGAATATGGGCTAACGTAAGGTTGAATGAGAAAATGCAGGAGCACAGAAGTCCTTTAGGTGAAGACATGATCAATCAGAGATGATGCTAAAAAAATGTCATCAAATGACTGCATTTAGATATGCAAACAGCAAATACTTTACCCATAGTAACAACAATGTTTGTGTGTACTGTCAAGCAAATTGGATATTAGCATACAAACCTATCTTTTCTGTCTCTTTAAATGCATCAGTTACTATATCTATTATTTCTCGTCTGGAAATAACCTCCATCAGGCACCAAGGTCGCATCACCAACCCACTTATCACTCTGTAGCCCTGTAAACATAAGAAGATACTGACTTTTACTAACTGTGAGAAACTATATAATCATTGATCACACCAACACGTCCAGCATCATGAAACGGTGTGCATTACTTTGCACTCTACAGAAAATACAAAATGACAAAAAAAAAATAATAGAGTACTATTTTTTTGTAGCCATTATTCCTATGCACACTTTAGTCAATTTTAAAATCCAAATCAAGTTGAAATGATTCACATGCATCACACATGTCACTATACTGCTAAAAGAATTAAAACTTTCCACAGTACTGCAAGGTAGGAAGGAATAGCTTCTTCAAATAGTTGATTTTATAAGGATAACATAAACAAGGAAACTTTCTTCTAACTGTTCCCCTCTGTGAAATGATCTAAGCCATTAGCAGCAGAGATATATCTCACCGCCTTACGAATTTCTGAATCCTGTTGAAGAACTGATAAGAGGAGACCCTGTCACAAAGAACAATTCAAATAAATAACCAAGAACTTCATGTAAAAGTCAAAGAAGTATTTGAAGACTTGTATGGCCAAAATTCCAAAATCTGCTATTTTGAAAAGTGTTTTTTTTAGAACTGTTTTTTTTTAAAAAAAACTTTTGCAGAGTAGGAGTATGCATTTGGCAATGAAATTCAAAAGCAATTGTACCAATATTAATCCAGTAATTGTGCTTGGTCAAGGTACCAAAAGTGCTTGTGGGGAAAAACTACTATTTTTAACATCTGAAAAATAGTTTCCACTATTACTACTCAAAAACACTTATTTGTTCCAAAAAGTTTGGCCAAATACCACGACTCGCTAAAATAAGCACTTTTGGCTTCCCAAAAGCTTGAGCAAACTGGCTATTAATGTTGAACACAACAGGTTCATGCACATCAAATCCCAATAAAACTCTTCAACCCACGAGGTTGATGCATTTCACAGGTTTTTCTTTTTTTTATAATCCATTTGTTTACCCTTTCTGTCTCTAATCCCCCTTACCCTTTTTGGGAGCATGGAGTGCTGATTACAGGGTTTTTTCTTTTATCACGAAGCCAGATGTCACACAAAAATTAAACTCACTGAAGGTGTCAGCTTTGAAGTCTTGGATGCTGCTTCATAGATCAGACGCCGAAGATTCTGCTCTGCATCACCATCCAGCAATACATCCTTTTCGGCGCGAGTTTCTCCAACAATGTTTGCAAGAGCATGCAATGCTGCCTGTTTTTTGCATTCAAAGGAAGTCCCAAGTAAAGATTATGTCGGTAACAAATTTCTGAATCTCTTTAAATCATGAAGTCAGAGTCTGCATGAGTTCCGCACAGAACTTAAACAATAGATAAAGATATTAATACATCTCCTCTTTGCTTCTGGCTGAATTACATTAGAATACAATAATAAGCTGCCATCATTCACACAACATTCATAAAATTCAGGTTGTGTAAATACATGGATAACATAAGTTAAAGCTCGCCCTCTAAGGAGTCTCAAATTCAACTCTCATAGCAGAGGAAATGTCAAAAAAAGATGTGCTTACCAGCTGTTTACCATGCTGTTGCTGATCAAAAGCTGCATAAATCACATGTCTTTCTGCAGGCTGTGCACCTGAGAGAAGCAATGCTGCACCTTTGCTGGCTGCAAGATGTCAAGGACAAGATTTTTTTTTTATTAGGATGTATTCTCTTAACCAAGTGAATATGTTGAAGTGGCATGTGTCACAGTGAACTACACGGTGCTAGAAAGAAATTACGGCGGTCAAAAGAGCAACAAAAAACTTACTTCTTCATGAATGCAGGAACCAGTACTTCGAGAAGCATATTCATATCAAGAACAAGAGGACAGATCAAAGAATATTTGATGAGAGGATTAAATATTAGCTCAGCATAAACGATGACATCTAGTAGATTGAACACTAGAAGAATGGTTGCAGAATCAATTAACACCAATGGCAATTCCCTACGATTATAAAGCTGCAACCAAGTACTGGTTTTTCATAGCCTGAATACATTAATACTTGAGAATAGTTATGAAGCAACCGTAATACTACAAAACAGTCCAGAAAGATAAAATATGCACAGAAGTCGGGATTAGCATCACGTCAAGTGGTTATCCAAAGCATATGGATCTTTGAGCTAGTACATCACTAGATCATGACACACCATTCTAGCCCATTAAGCATTTCCCCACTGAGTCATCACGCCAACAACTTTTCTTTTTGATGGAGTAAGAAGGTTTCATTAATAGCATCAAGCAGATGACTAAGCAAAAATAACAAAAAAAAGATTTGAGTCTACTCATGTACAAAACATTAAGCTATATCTGGCGAGCTGGCACAATCCAAAAAAGGTATAGATTTAGCCAGTTACACAGACTAAGTAAACAATTGGATTTTACAGGTTGACTTGGAGTTGAGATCCCATCAGATCACCTAGGATTCCTGTCTGACCAGATGTACCAAAAGTAATAGCCGGTACCATTAACTAGAATTTCTAGATAGCTTGACTAGCGTCACTAGACCAACAAATAATGCACAATAATGGTAAACGACAGCTTCACGTCGTTAGGTCCTTCCACATGGCATGATAATCCATGGCTTAGTTCTTAGACACTGACTTAGACCAGAATTCTGCTCAAGATCTCTATAGGGAATGTAAGAGATTATAGCATCAGAGCTTAAATCTTTCTTCATTTTTAATGATATCAAACACACAAAGAAAGTGTGGTTAAAGGGAAAGCAAGAAATATACTGTATAAAGGGTAAAAACAGAATTACAGTGGGTAATTACCACATCACCACTTGAAATACAGGAGCTAAAAGTAAAAACAAAATCTAAGGAAGAAATGGGCCACAATCATGGATTGTACATGGTGACTATTTGGAGAGATAGGAATCAAAGATGTTTTGAAGCATTAACCAACCCAACCTGGAAGATCAAGTTCAATTGTTTGCTTTTGTTTGCTTCTTAGTGTAAAATGGAAGACATAGGCAAAGTGAGACCATTTTAGAGGCTTTTGAAACTATTCATGTACAGTGAGACTATATTAGTCAGCCTAGTCTAATCTTTTTTTGTTCTTTTTATCACTTCTTTTGGAGTTGATACTTTGTACTGTTTTGATAACAATGAAAAGCCTTTTACCTTCTCAAAAGAATGGGAAACACCTGAGGACAGTTCAATACTCTCTTACTATTGTCATGCACACTTACAGTACACACACTTTGTTCAGATAATTAAAAAGCGAGTAGGGCTCAAACTCTAAGCGGAGTCACCAAAAAATCAGCAGAGGTCTCATAAGTACAAAGTGTGATCATTAATTTAAAGAAATTATAAATAAAAATTGCCTGAACTATTTAAAGTTTTTGTCGAAATAAATGTAGTTCAAGGTATCTCTTGTCAAGGAGAAATTGAGCTATATCACATGGACATGAATATAAAAAAAATAAAAACTTACACAACCCAATTTGTCCGAGCGCTTCAAGAGCACATTCACATTCATCTGCATTTTGATTTTCTAATAAATTGAATCTTCCATTAATGGCAGAAATAAGATTTCTACAACCTGAAAGTCATAATAACAACCAGAGAGTTATTATGCGAGCAAGCAAAAGCTGCAGTAGAACAACAAAAGAAAAGGTAGGATATATTACAACAAACAGTGTGGTACCAGATAACTTCATAGAAAACATACCACAAAATGAGAGTCTATCCTCTTTTGATACATATTGAGTTGTTAACTTAGACAACAGTGAGGAAGAAAGGAATACCAAGCAAAGAATTAAATTTGCTAGATTATATATATAACCTTCCTAGTTCCTACTTGGAATAAATAAAAAATCCTAAAGATCAGCCAACATCTTATTAATTGCAGTTGATATACCACTTCTACAGTGCGTACATTAAAACTAGTTGAGTTCTGGTCTCATATGGTTTGAAAATGGGCTTCCGATTGATGTCTACAACGGTCTTGCGCCACTGATGCCCTGCCTTAAGGGGCCTTTGAGGTTATGAGTTAGATGCTTAGATTCATTAACATGAGGGTGTTGTCCTATAACAATCCTGCCTAAATTATGTAAGCTTCCAAAAGGGTTTATAATAATTTTGCGCCGCCCACCCTTTGCCTTATCGAGTCCAAATATTGCAGATTAAATTCTTTCACAAAACCAAAGCCTACCTATATATATACTTGGGACATACGTATTTCCTTAACTAGAACATACCATAGACTTTGAGGATGAAATTGAGCTCCTCCTACATTCTAATTAAAATATGCCAAATCACGATGCTGATTTCTTGGATATGAGAATTTTTCTACCTAACATATATAGTGGGCTTCAAGCAATATTGACTTAATTGATGGAAAGAACTCTACTTGGACCCACTCACAAGTCCATTAATTATGCACCATAAAACCTGAATACAATACCAGAGTCATGTACAAGTAACATGTCTTATTCATCACTTAAGTGATAAGCTAATTTAAAAGATGGAAACTATAATACTCAATCAACATTCCTACAACTTGTAAAGTTAATAAATTTTAAACAAACAAACAAATTTGGCACACAATTAAGACATAGAAGAAGTATATGTGAGTATCACCAGATTCATCAATAAAGACAAAGGCATTCTCCCTAGCCATCAGCCTTCCAGTTATCATCATTGCTCTTGATCGCAAAATCGATTCAGCAGAAGCATCACTAAGGAAGATAAACAGGTGAAGAAATAAATATGATAGTTACAATGATTGAATGACCAGAACATAAAATTCAGAATCACAAGCAGCAATTCTCGTGTGCAAACCTAATAATAGAAGTAAGAATTTGGAGAAACTTAGTCCTTGACAAGAACTCAGTGCTGTGCTCAACATCAGCCAACTTCATTCACCCAGCACATACAAGAAAAACAAGTAAAACATAATCAGGAACAAATTGAAGAAAAGGCTATTAAGTGATTGTAGAATAAAACATATAGAAGATTAGCACACAAGTACAAACCCCCAAATAAAAGGAGGGTATTTAATATATGCCACCACTAGATCCCCTGTAGCTAGAGAAAGAAAAACATATTCAGGAAAAAGCTCTTAAATTTATATGGAAACTTCCAAGTGTTAGCCATCTTTCCTCCACATCACATGATGATCCAAAGTTTTGATAAGGTATTAACGGCAGACAAGGAAAAGGTTGCTTTAGGTAAATACCTAACCCTAGTTCTCTGCCTTATATTTTCAGAGTATTTACCTCATTATTTCATTTCCTTCTATGTTTACTATAGACTATGGGACCAACATCTCAGAACAGTAGCTGAAGGCACAAAACATAAAAAAGCAACAGAGTGATTTACTCGATAGCTGGGGAAAAAGAGAACATCAAGTGCTTGGCATAAAGAAAAAAGGCATGGTCACATCACCAATACTACTAGATAGTTATGGTTCAGAGTCGGCAATGTTATTCTGCGATCAAAGAAAATAGTTCTGCATTCTCTTTGTGATATGTCGAACAGGTTACAAGTTGATACTTTGCGTGAAGAGCGCACAACTTATATGACAAGGACTTCCTGAGTTTCTTGAACAAATAAAATCCCAGAGATATGTTCTACCAGTGCTGAACAAATATGCAAAATTTATGGCTGATAAGACCTTATGGTGACAAGAAAAATGCAAACTGCAATGATCACATGTAGAGGAAAATTCTATAGCTAGCTAGAAGCAAACCTCATATAGGAGTTCCAAGCTGCTCGAAGTGACTAATGTATCATCTGAATTGCTGATTTCTGTCTCCAACAAGCTAAGAAGATTTGAGCTGTAGACTCTTGATGCCACAGAAGTGGAAATGGAGAATAACTTCACTATCAAAGCTAAAACACGAACTCGTCCCTGAGGATTTAGCAAAATGAAAAGCCCAAGTACTAGCAATGCATACCACAGCTCAATGAGGTTCAGATGAATCAAGAACCACCACTGACATTGGATTCCACTTTAATTACTTTATTTCCTCTTTCTTATTTTAATTTTGGAGGGATGAGTAAGATAAGTTCAATAATCAAGACAGACACAAGGCACCAGCTCAATTACATCCATAACAAAATAGATCGATGATTATAATTTCTGTTTGAATCAGAGAAGATATACGAACTATAGATATTAGAACTTTTGAACTTACGTCATGTAGATGTTATGTGTAATTTATGCAAAAAGTAAAACCAAGTTAGGATTTGAAAAGATATTTCTGAAGTATGATTCTCTCATTACAAACTACAAAGTAAAGTGAATGTCAAAGAAGCTTCACCAAAATTAGAAGAAATAATAAGTATGATGGTTAAAGAATAGGAAACCTAGTCAAGAAACTCTTTCTGTGGGGGGTGCAAGGAAGGGCCAGACTATGTTGGGTTAATTTTATGTAGCTTTACATTGTATGTTTGCAAGAGAATGTTCCCCAACTTTAAGTCCAGACCTCCTGGTCAAATAGTAGAATCTCCTACCATTGCGCTGAGGCTCCTTAGTGGTATGTATAGATTAAGAGTAGTGTCTTTGTCTCATAGATTCTTTATTTAAGAATAATTTCATATGCTATGATTAACTGGATAGCAACTATAATAATTTATCTCAGCATGACATCAAGTAAAGCAATAAATTCAAAAGAGAACTGCTCATTAGACATGTTTTTCACACAAATTCAAGCATGACCGAAAGTGAAGAACTAATTTCAGAGCAGAGCTGTTCATTGCATACAGCACACTGCCTATCAAAAGGCACACAGAACTTTTAACATTCATCACAAAAAAACATACCAGAGGTGCACAGTTGGTTGCGAAGTTCAAGAGGTTTGTCGCTTCATTGCCGCTTTCAGGAAATATGATATCCTTCAGAAAATTTTATTAAATTCAACAGAGATCCTTATTTACAATATATCTGGTCGAATTATCACCACAGGCATGCAGAAATGTATGTGCAATGACCAAGATAAGAAGCAGATACTACATACAATGCCTTTCGAATGGCTAGCCAGTTTCCTAATTGCATCTGTAGATGCAGCAGCAACTTCCGCATCCCTGCCAGAATAATAAACCCTACATGACTACAAGCAGACCCAATTTCTAGAAGAGGAAAAAGAAGTGACATTAGGGTGCATACTTTTCTGATTGATGTTTGCTAATCACATGTCATCATCACGACTGATGATGTACAATTCTACTTTAAGAAGTCACAACAAGCATATGGCACAGCAAAATCACACAGATCTATGCATGTAAAGCATCACCACTAGGATGTGAGAAACTAAAGAATGTCGTAGTAAAAGATGACAGGTTCCAAAACATAATCAGCATGACGTTACAAAATCAGTTCACAAGCAACCTCCACATTGGGAGCCCAAAACCGACTAGTCAGCAATTCAGGAGGCAAATAGCATGCAAACAAAGATGCATCTTGAGGACATGGCTTAGAAAAAGGTTTAAAAGGGAAATAAAATAATAGTTCTCATTCAAAATTTTGTCATTGACAAGAAATATTGTCACAAGTATCTGTGTTTTGGTCTCCAAGAGCAAACGTAGAATCCCAACTCACAACACATTATACAATGTGTTCACGAAGTGTAGACATGTAGGTAATACAAGAGCCATTCGTTCATATGACACGATCAAAAAAAAATTCTAAAAGAAAAATGTAAAATCAAAGAGGATAATTGGAAAGAGGTCATACTACCTGGTTGAAGTACTTTAGTAGACCATATCATGCTAGCGGATGAAACGACAAAAGAGAACAATTAGTTATCTGATCTAACTCCTGTACATATTATTTTTCTAACTCATGACCACGCCATATTCTCTTAGAATGACCCCATATGACAGTTGAAGGGGTAAGAATAACATGTGATGTCGAAACTATGCAGGCAAAAGCAGAAGTAAATCGACTCTCAAAGAAGCACGTGAAATCAAATCAACTGCCACAAAAAGGCCTGCCCATAGCAAGATCAGTACATCCAACAAAGCCATCTCCACAAAACAAACGTAAAAATCATAGACAGTTCAGTCAGTGATTGCATATGGTAAGAAATTGCACTGCGCCTTACCCACTTATGAGGCAATTAAGCAAAAGTTGATAAACTCCATACTCATGAATTAGTTGTATAACAAGTGCTTCATCAATATTCTCCAACAGGCAGGATACCTGTACATGGTTACTACTGCATGAGAGTCAAACTTGGAGACCAAAAAAGATTGACCATATTCATGGTTTTCAGCAAGTCAAACAAAGATAGCTAAATCTTAGAACGACATGGAGCACTCAATGAGGAAAGCAAAATGAATAGCTACAACAATAAGTGAATTCTCCAGCATGATGAGAATGTGTAGCAACGAATATTGAAACATTCAGCAATTCCAATAACCACTTTCCCATATTCTGTTTCTCATAAGAAAAATAGTCTAAACTTGCCAAGTTGTAAACTTCAGATTAACATCAATCCTGCTTAAAATATCCAGAGACACATACACGGAAATATGAGAGCTGTTAAATCCATGAACCTCACTATTCAGTTCTCTCATACACCCACATCATCCTACAGAGTTAGCTACATGTCTTCCGGATAAATAAGCATCCATACAGAAAGGGTCTCCATGGAGTGGAAACTGAAAAACTAATAGGTGAAAAGATCTTAAATTTACTTTGGAGGCACATACTCTTATGCTTAACAAAAAAGGGTTGAAATTATCATAGAAGCACTTACAGTTTGGCATGCTAAGCGTCTGACTTTCTGAGACTCTGCACCGAGACCGACAATAACAAATGGCTGCAAATAAGCAGAAACCAGACCAAGCAATTTAGAAAAAATTAATGATTTACCTCAAATTCTATTATGATGGACACGCATAAGAGTAAGTACAAATGTTGCACGGAGATGGATAAGGGAATAAACTATTTGTGTGCATTGAATTACGATTGACTAGCTCTATAAGACCACACAGGAGATCCTTACACAGATAAATTCAAAGTATATTTCCTCATTGCTATCTAAGATCATTTCTCTGGATTTGTGGCTCAACATTGAAAAGTCTAGATATTCTGAAAAGATTTTGGAAATTAATTTTTAGGGGAGGTATTAGCTGTTAGGAAAACCCAATTAATAGGATTATTTTCTCTTTGGAAAAAGGTTTTGGTTTGATTTCTGAAATCCAACAGATATTGTTATCTTCTGTTTCTGATTTTCTAAAAAAGTCTCTTCTAAACATTTTATGATGTTCACTTCCTTCTCTATTTTTCTCTAAGCTCTCTAACGGTTCCTTGTAGTCATAAAATAAAAGAAAGTCAAATCAGTGAAAATACTGGGTATAGTTTACGTGTTAACAATGAACAGAACTTTTGTAAAAGAGTAAATCATTCTTGATCACATTAATCAAGAACCTTTTAAATCAATCATGAACAGAAGTTACATGATTACAAGATGAAGGCTAACGCTCCATTCGAATAGCTCGAAGCAGAAAGAACTGCAAGAAAATGAACCTTAAAATTCCTTATGTTGCTTTAGAAAGGAAGCTGTACCCCTACCGCTATAAGTTGGTTTAAATTATAGCTGTCAATATCTATCACCCCACATCGGTCAACTTCCTTCATACACAAAAACACAGAATAATAACAAGTGTTGATTAAATTTTCTTAAACTGTACCCGTTCATTGTGAGTAAGCACTTCTCCTTTGCTCTCTACTAAGTAGAACCCAAAAGCTCCTTAGCATTTAGCTCTAAAGGGAAAACTTATCAATCTAATGTTTCACATTGCCCACAATAGTATGGTCTAAGCTTTAAATAACCAAATAGCTGATATATACTTCACCACACACTTGTGATAGACCCACAACAACTCATTCAGATATGAAGATCCGAATTTAGCTTATTTAGTAGTACTAGCATTACTGCCATACCATGTAGTGTGGAATGAGTGATGCTCCATATCTTGTTTTGAAAAGCTTCTCTAAACAATCAACCAAAGCACTTTCTAGGCCAGGGTAATCTGCTTTTGTTTGCAAAGCACTGCAAGAAATTCAAAGTTAACAATCAGCAAGCCAGTAGGAGCATTTCCAACCTGTCCCAAAAATACACAAACAAGATTGTTTGAACATTGTTTAAATTCTCTTACTTGTAAAAGATTGTAATCTATAGTATGTTTATATAGTTTAAACATTTCATTTCAAAAAAAAAAAAAGAATCCTAACCAAATCTCCACAGGATTAATGCATTAGCCCTTGTAATTGTAAGGAATTTGCATAGTTTCTAACACTGCCACACATATTCAGTGGGAAATTACAACAGCAGACCCAGTGTAATCCCCCTTTGTGGGAAATTGACAAAACTATATCTCTCTAAGCTAGGTGATGTGGTATGGTAAAATTCAAGCATGTAGGAGCACCACTACAGAAAGTTGAATACCCTCTCCATTCCAAAAAGATTCAAACGGGTTTAAACTCCATTAACTTTAATTTGTCACTTTTCACTTTTCAAAAGTCAAATAGCATGAATTTTGATCAACATTTTAAGACTTATTTTTCAACATATAATATGAGAAGGCTTGCAATTTATAGTTTTCGAACATCTAAATTATAAAATATTAAATTAATCTAATTCAACTTTAACTTCAAATATTAGTTAAATTGACTCTCATGAAGCAAAACATGACTGAGAAAAATGAACTGAGCCAATAAAAGATTGTAATCTGTATTACTTTTGTCTAGTTTAAACATTTTATTCAAAAAAAAAACTACACAAATCTCCACTGGATTAATCGTAGCATTTGGAAGGAGTTTACACAGTTTCTAACTCTGCCACACACATTCAGTGAGCAATTGATACAGAGTGTATTGTAACTTGTAAGCCGAAAACTCATGTAGAAAGAGCTGACAACACAGAGTAGAGAAAATAGTAGATACTTGATAATGGCTGGAAGAGGAAATCGATTAAGAAAGTCTTGAGCTGAAGCATCGGAAAGAGCGCCTGAAAAAATTGTAAGATACACAAATTAACCAATTGCTTATTTACCAAAGACGAGAAACAAGTCAAAAAAAAATCACAAATACCAGGATGATACGCAAAGTCAGTAGCTGCTTCCAGTAACTGCGCCGGATCCACAGAGTACTCTTCCGCCATTGTTAGTGTATCAGAGAGAGAGAAAAAAGATGTTGCAGACGGTGAGGAAAAAGATGAGAGAGTACAAAAGAGGGCTAAAAAGAGCTACTACTGAATCGGTTTTTGAAACTTTTTGTTTACTTGCACAACACACTCACGCACACTGTGTGCAGTGTCGTTTACTGTGCTTTTGCCTCCTCACTTTTGTTTGTATGCACTGGCTGATTGACAACAAATGTGAAATTCTTTTAATTTGAATGAAATTTTCTTTCCTATCCTGTATCAAAAGTCTCTGATACAAAGTCTATTTAATAATAATATTTTTATTAAAAACTTATTAATAGTTAAAGTTCAAATCTAAGACGTTTTGAAATCTTTCTCTTATTGAGACACAATTATGGATAATATTATTGTTTGGAAATGCATCTTAAATTAGTAACTACTGCGAATTTATGCTCAATAGTAACTTTGATTTGAAAACTCTTCATAAACCAAAACCAAAATAATATTAAGTTCAAAACAAATGAAAAGAGTACGGTGTGACACATTATAGTATGATATTATTTCTTTCTCAAAAGAGATTTTCATTTCACTTTATTACTTTAAAAAAAATTATCGAAAACTAAATATTTATCATTTATAATATTATTATTTTATCATTTTTAATATATTTATAATACACTTTTCATTCATATTATTAAAAACAATTTATAATTTATATATAATACAAGTTCTATTAAAGGACAATACATTTATCATCCATTTTAACGCACTTATAATACAATGTGTCAATTCCTTACCAAATAAGTATAATATATTTTTAAAAATAATTATAATATATAATATTGCCTATTTAATTCACTTTTAATACATATTTCATATGTAACATAGTATTATCATAAATAATAATAAATATCACTAAAATCAGTAATTATTTGTTAAAAAACATTCCTTCAAATAATTTTTCAAAATTAATTCAATCTACTTTATAAATTATTATCACTCTAGTGCTTTAAGAAAAGAGGAATGGTAAATGTAGTAATTGGGCCACTAGCAAGACTAGCATGAATCTTATTGGACCCTAATTCTGTCATGCCAACATAATGGGCTTTAAATAAGCAAATTTCTCAAAAACTCTTGCACAACATGTAATTAAACCAAATAACCTTGATAATTAATTGTGTTGCTCACAAATTATTAATGTTTTAAGATTAAAGTTATTTATTTAAAAATTAAAAATTAAAATTTAAGTTAAATCGCTTTCAAAATCAATAGCGTCGACAATGACACGTACGTTATAGGCCATGTCGTGTCTATTTTCCAGTTGAGTTAGCCTCTCTATGAACAACTCAATAATTTACCTTGCTTTACAGTTCATGTACATGAATAAAACAAGAGAAGAGTTAAAAAAATTAGGTTTTTATTTAATGAGTTGACCTTTTAAGATTTTCAGAATTTAAAATTTAATATTACTAATTTCTTTTGTCAACTTATGATACAATTTTCACGGTAAAACTTATCGCATTGAATATTTACATCAATTTAATACATGTATGATATGTATTTAAATTAATAGTTTATTTTAATTAACTTACTCACATCGAATGTTTACACCAAACTAATGCAAAATGCATTATTACGTGATTTTATGAACTAAAATGAACTATAAATTCAAACAATATGTATTTATTTGGTGTTAACACCCGATACAGGTAAGATTTATCAATTAACATGTTTTTTACTTCATTAAATCACATAAATATATAGAAATTAAATTAATATGATATAAACACTTGATACGAATAATTTTTTTTTCCATGTTGAAAAGTTAAAAGAAATTCTTTTAGGTTAGGATTTTCCTCACGTGTTTTTCATGAATTATAATGATTTTAAAAAAAATCTACAGCAATATTACATTGTATTTATAAATAGATTGAATACTTAAATATAAGAGTTGAGATTTCAAATTTAAATCTGATGTAATTATATTTTTAATTTCGAACTCTTTAATGAAAATTTTTAAATTCACCATTAAGATTATTTACGATAGACCCTCGGTTCCAAAATAAATGTGATAAAAATATAATTAAAAGAAAAAACGATAACAAAATAACAAGATAAATAAAACAAAATGAAGATTAACATACTTAATTTGTGAATCCAAGCCCTCTCACTCTCCGCATTAAGTACCACCACACTTATTTATTTACTATCCTTCTATCTAAATCATCGACTTCTATACTTTTTTATCTCGTAACATATCATCGATAAGATGAACATGTACATATCTTGCTTGATCGCTTCTTTGAGTTTCTTTTTAATCTATATACATTTATCTCTCTTAAAAATTATCATAGTCAACCTCTCACACATCCTTATTACTCTTCAACTTCCTATCTCAACTAAAATCTTAGAACTTCTATATTCAAAATCACATTAAAAATTATTCATTTTGCTCTAAATCACATCACATTAAATATTTTTCAAGTATATTTATATTTCATATATTATGAAAATTGGAATGTTTGAAATTAAAGAAAAGAGTAATGAGTAGAGTGCGTCAGATGAAAATTGAAAGGTCATATATTGACAAGAGGAAAGGAACAGAGAAGTGAATGGGAGATCCCATTCATGATTATAAGTTTCCTACCTAAGGGAAATCTCAACCCTTACTTTTCTCTCTTTGGACTTGTGCATTTCCTTTTTTTCTCACCTACGCTATATATACTACTTGTCCTTTTTTTCTTACATTTTTATAATTATATTATATTTTACGTACCTCAGATATGTCCAATCTAACAAGTAAATTATTACTCTGATCTGTTTTAATTTATATGATACGAAATTTAATTTACAAGTATGTGAAGACTTAACAATGTTGATACATTTGTAAGTAGGACAAACATTGATAATATTTGCTACATAGCATTATTCTTGAACTGACTAAGAATATTTTATAATATGATTTCATAATCACGAGATTTTTCTTTAGCGCGAAGAGAGGGTATTTAGATATTTACCTTTCAAACTATGGCTTCAATGTATTTGCAATTATATGGAGATTATGTGTGACTTCCTTCTCCATTAACCTCGATTTGACAACGTTGGAAATTTCATCTAAAATATTTGGAATCATGAGAAACTAATAAAAATTTCACTATTATAGCTAATTACTTAGACATGCACTATTTTGGAATATTATGAATTTTTTAAGAGTTCAGTATATCCACATATATATGTTTCGAAATATATGAGATCAAACTTAAATATAATTTATTTTAGATATATTGTATCAAAGTAAATTCACATATATATATGAAAATCTCGTTCACTTATCTTCATCTCGCTTGCACTCTTGATTTAGTGCCCAAAAAATATATATCTAATATGAAAACATAGATAAAACTCACTGGCCTGGTCTCTCTATTTCGTTGCATCTAGTAGCAACTGCCTTATCCCAACCTGTTATTATGATTTAATACTGAACACACATTTGGTTGTTAGGTAATTATGAATTTTACTAAGAACTTCACCACACACATACTGGCAGAGTTTTCGTACGTAAAACACCAAATATACGTTATCATATAAACTGCCACAAAAAAAATCATAATGTAAGTAAGTTAAAAGAGAAAGCAAGTGTATTCAATTTAATTTGTCTCATTCCCAAACACCGACAATATTCCATGTGTATCCTAACTCTTAGTCCACATAATTTAATCAGCACCAGTAACCCCATCCCACGTGCAAAGCTAGATAAAATCGAAATAATTATAACAAATTAATATTTTTAAAATATATAGTAAATATTCGACGTTAAATTATAATAATGTACTAATGTAGTCGAGAAATAATAGCATGCATTAAATTACGCTGAACGTTTACAACAAAGTGACAATACCACTAAAGCTGCCACACGCAGTACATACTAAACAAAAAGCAAAGATTAACACACTGATTACTTAATTAATTAACGTCTTAATTAAAATTAAGCACTTGCTAATTCAGTAGCTCCACATACAGTCAAGTTCAGACTGTTCAACTTTCTGAGTCTCCGGCACGGTCCAATTAACCATCGGATTAGAAAATCCGCCGTGCATGGCGGAGGTTCCGCCGGAGAATAACGGAAGCTGGAGATTCTCATGGAGTGATCTTAAGCTTGGAAAAGTTGAATTCCTTGTGTAATTAGTGAAATTAGATGGAGAAGAGTCCAAAATAGAAGCGAAACTTGGAGTTGGCTGTAGTGCATGCAAGGTGTTTGATGAAATGTCGAAGACAGAAGTTGGATCGAAAGTTAGACTCTGTGCAGTTATTGTAGCAGTAGCAGTTGTGGAGAAACAGGGCACGTGCTCCTTCTTGAAGCTATGATCACGATCGCGGTCGCCGATTACGATAGCTGCGGCGGAAGTGGCGGTAGTGCTATACGGAGAGGAATCGAGGAGCGGCGGAAGGTGAGAGACGGAAGACGGTGAACTCACTTCCTGGTACATGTTTATACTTGAACTTAGCCTTTTTTTGCCGCCACCAGTTGAAGTAGCGGCACCATTAGAACCGGTGCTTTTTTGAAAGACCCGCGAGATAACCCACTCGTCCTGTAGCCAAAAAATATATGAGAACAATGGAAACACGAAAAAACGAATTCAAAATTTAAAATTTATAACTACAAGCATGTTTACATATTTTATGAACTTGTGAAAGCTACAAATTTCATAAAACCCGCATCAGGCTTTTAACTTTACCATGAAAAACAAATATACAACATTTTTTGGGGCAAGACCTAATTTTTAGCGTCTACGAATCTTATTTTGTTATTAAAGAAATGTTTGTAATCTAACAAATATGAAGCTCATTATGATGCAATTTTAAAAAAAGAAGCATTTAAATTAATGCCAAAACGCTAAAAGTCAAAATCTAACAGACTGATGAATTTACGTAAGCATGCTTACACATTGATAAGGCTAATAAAATAAGTTTGGAAAGAGATTATATTAAATCGCTATCAATATGACAGTATATTATTCTGTAAAGTCTTAATTGCTTTGATCATAAATCATAATAAAAGCAAATTCTTTTTTTTCTCTTTTAATTTGTTTTTCTGTTATTTTTCAGACTATGTATACTTCCAACTTAATCATAAGCAATTGAGACATTGAAAACGAAGTTTCACAAAACTTTCTGCTTCAGAATCTCTGGCTCTAGCAGTAATATCAATGATATATTTGTGCACAGAATATCTCCAGTAAATCTGATCTCTTTAATCCAAATACAAAAAAAAGTATGAGTTGTAACACAAAACATGTAGATCAGTTTTCTTCATCAAAATTCATTAATATATGTGTATCAGTTAATTATTAACACAAAAATACTCTAGTACCTTCGAACTCCTGGAGATATAATGATAGGCAAATTTGCCATCAAGGCGATATTCATGCATAACCCAGTTACTTTTTTCTCCTTTTGGTGCTCTTCCTCGATAAAAAACTAGGGTTTTCTTCATACCAACAAGTGCACATGTTTTTGAACTGAAAATTTCTCTATCTTTTCCAGTAGCTTTCCAGTAACCCGCTTCAGTAGCTCTGTTAGTCCTCAGCCCTGTTGGATACTTCCGATCACGTAGACTGAAGAAATACCATTCTTTTTCTCCCATTTTCGCTTTCCCTTAATAAAATAAGGGTATTTTAGTTTTTTTTTAGTTAAAGCTCAAAAGTATGTTAAAATATTTAATTAGCGTTCAAATCTTGTAAAACATGGTAAATTTGCACACTCAAATATAACATGAGAATAAAAAAAAAAAGTTCATACCAGGAAGTTCCCAAGGTTCACATTTGTTGAGATCAACTTCAGCAATAGCTCTAGCAGTGAAGTTGCAGTCCAGAACCTTCTTCAACAAGTAGTAAGTAATAAGTTCTTCGTCAGTTGGATGAAACCGAAACCCCGGTGGTAAATGCGGATCACCGCAATCAAACTGCATCTGATGATAAATCTCCATGGTAAAAAAAAGGCTAACACCACGAAATAGATAAACCTAATATTTCAAGAATTTTCACACAAAGATAACACAGCACATTCTTATGAAATTGAGAAATTTGAGTGATTTGAGGGTTATATTATAGGAGAGATGGTAGTGTACGTTAGGTTCATGGGAATTGCAGAAAGATTAGAGTGGGAGGAAATCATAAGGATGGATGATGTAGGTGGGGAAAAGGAAAAATCTGTACAACTGCCCTGTCCTGTTCTGTTTTTTTTTTTTTTCAATTTTTTTTATAGCTCTGATGATCTTTCTGTACTGTACTATGCTATAGGCTAAGCTAAGGCCCTTATTATCATATCGATAAGCCTAGAGAGAGAAAGAGAGAGGAGGAAAATGACCATTTTGAGTAGGGGGTATAGAGACTTGTGAGTTGTGTGACAACTACTAACCACACGAGTATGGGTAGAGAGGGGGTAGGGGTGAGGAGGGTGATGTACTTATTTGTAAACTTTTGGTTTTAACTTTTTGTATTGTAGTGAAAAATTTATTATAGATGTAAATTGTATATATCAATAATAATGTGAAAAGTATTATCTTAAATATTTTAGTTGCTGGTTAGAGTTATATAAATCTCTTTTATTTTGTAAAGATCAGTTATGCGAGAATTTATCTATTATTAATTTCAATTATATAGATTATCTCATAATTAACTTATATGTTATATATCTATTATTTGTGCGCAGGGGCAAAGCATAGAGCCAAGGGCTTTTATCCATGCATCTTTTAAGGGAAAATATTTTTATATATACATATATATATATATAGACGTTGAATCTATCTTTTTATAATAGCTCTAAAATGTTTAACCCTTTTATTGACTTCTTTTCATATTTTGAATCAATTGGTGGAAATCATTGTTTCATCATCGATTTCTAAATTGCAATAAAAAAAAGTACTAATTTGATAGTACATAATCAAACGTAATATAACTCATGCAAGATTTAGTTTGAATATATCTAGCCTCTAAAGTAGCTATAAAACAACCCTTAAGCGGATAAATTATAATTACTTGTAATTATATTCTAATGTTTTGATTGTGCAAATAATTTGCATAGAATAGTCCAAAGACAATTGCAAAATTTATATTTCTCTATTTCTCATCGGTATTGGCTTGGTATTCGGTTAATGTTCCTAAAAGAGAAGTTGTAAACTATTATAATAATGTACCTATTTAAAGGAATTTGATGTGGCTCGATAAGTTAATATAGCTAGGGTCCATAAGATCATTTATGCTTTCATAAAGGCAACCTTATAAATCCATTTGATAATGACACATAAATTTTTTTATTATAGACCACGACAATGATTCTAAACTCTATTTCTCTCTTTTTTTTTTGTTGTATTCTTTCCATCAAATTAATTCATTATTTCACTTTTTTAACTTCAAACATGTAACACAAAGTTTGAAAAATAATATAATAGTTTTTCACTTTCAAAATTTAAATTGTATTTTCATGTACAAACACAATTTTTACTTTCATTTACCTTTTTTCTGTATTAACTTAAAATTGTTTATTTTTTAATACCAACAAATTTGTGTCCATCCTGGTTCATGCTAATATATTCTATTCCACTAGAGAACTAATAATCACATGAGAATCTTAGTAGATTCATTATTTGATATTTCAACTTGTTGATACTATCTCATTTTGTAATTTTCTTCCTTATGTTTCCTTTCTCTACTATCAATTTATTTTTAGTTTTACTTTTTAAAAAAAGATGAAGGTAATCGATAACAAGAGGTTACAACACCTTCCATTGACCATTTTATTTATTTTATTCACACTGAATTCATTCTATTGAATAATACGTAACGTCAAAAAAAATTCTTCTCACCTTATATATTTTTAGTTTGAAATTTTCAGAATCTTATCTATGAATATCATTTTTAAAACAAAGGAAAGCATATATCTTAATACCATATGTTATTTATGAAAACGTACTGCTGTTATGTAGTCAATTTTTTTGTCGGTCACAATTGATTTTCAATCAACATAAAAGCTCAGTAGATCACAAGTCTTCGTTCTTAGCAAAATGATACGCTATTCGTATCACCAAAAAGAAATTTTAGTAATATCGTATGATTAAAACACAATATCATTGAAGGGCTTAATTATATAAGACTGCTCATTTGCATGCATAAAGACAAGTTCTCAAAGAAGAGGTTTTGACGAAAGATACGAAGTCACTCGAATTAATAATACGAATATATGTTATTAACCGCTCTTCAAAATTAAAAATGGATTGAACCATTATTAACTATCGTCTATCTAAGTATCGTATAACTTGATAAATATCAAATTTTAAAATTTATAAAATAAAGTCTTTGTACTAAATATGTGGATGGATTGGTTGAATTATTGGGGCTATGCGTGCGTGCGTGAGGAAAACTGCAGGTATTGGGTGTGTCAGTGAAGTAAATGAAAGGGAAGGAACAGAAAGTAGTTTTAAAAATAGGAGAAAACTATAGAGTAAAAAAAATAAAAAAATTTAGAGATTTTATTATCTATCCTATAAAGCTGTTTCATATCTCTTCTGTCAGCACACACACTATATATATAATCCAATTGACAGAGACAAAGGTTAAAAATCCATCCAAAATACCTGCTGCATCACACTTTTTTTTCCTACTCCCCTCACCTTCAATTACTTACACAACTTCATCATTTATTATTAAAAGAACATCTTACATCAAGTTTATTAGAGTAACAACAAAATTTAGTAATAGCTTCATCTGATCTATACGTCACGAGTTTAATACATAGAATTAAGTATTAAAAGTTTTGAATTTGAAAATCACTTAACATGAAAAAAAAATTATGTTAGGAATTATAGTTCATGATATGAATTTAACCGGACTCGAATACGTGTGCTAGTGAATATTTTGATCAAGTTTTTAGAGTAGTGGCAACACTATGTCATTTAGTTGGACTTGAATACGTGTGCTCAATGAACATTTTGATGAAGTTTTTAGAATAGTGGCAACACTATGTCATTTAGTCGGACTCGAATACATGTGCATAGTGAACATTTTGATCAAGTTTTTAGAGTAGCAACAAAATTGTTTTTTATGTTATTTACAAATTAAAGGTCATGAGTTTTATGAGTAAAATAAAATATTAATTAAATGTATACATTTTTTCTTGGAGATTTTTAGTTTGAGGCCCTAAAAATTTTAAAAAACACCAATATTTTATGAGTAATTTTCACATATAGCAAATGAAAAATTTATATTTGTATGCTATATCAAAGTTTGCATAATTGCGCTCTATAACAAACATAAAAACTGTATAATTCGCTATACATATACAGTTGAAGCAAATTGTATAAAACAAAGTATATAAAACAAGACAGAGAAAGACACTTGGGCAGAGAACGGTATAAAAACGAAGTGTATAAAATGAATTTTATTATTATAAGTGTATAGAACGATTATATACAATTTGAATTTGTGTAAATGAGAAAGAGAGAAAGACAAAAGAGACTTGACAAGAAATATACAATTGAATCGAATTGTATAAAACGAGAAAGAGAGAAATTAGATACAATTTGAAAATTATATAAAACGAGAAAGACAAAAGAAACTGGGCAGGGGAATATTTTTATTGTATAATTATAAGTGTATAGGACGAAAATATATGTACTTGCATGTGTATATACAATTTTCTCACGCATTATACAAACAGAAACACAATTTATACATTTCGCTTCTATTTATATAAGTGAGAAAGGCGAGGATGGTGAGCGAGATTTGGGAGAGTGGTGAGCGAGATCTGAAAGAGGGGAGAGAAAGGAACAAAAATATATGTATTTATACAATTTTCTTTGTTTTATACAATTAGAAACAATTTTTTATACACTTGTGTTTGTATAAAAAGTGAGGAAGCGAGTGAGAGATTGGAGGAGAGTGGCGAGCAAGATATTTGGGAGAGAGGCGTCTGACAATTTTTTGCAAACGTTTGCTATGGAGCACAATTAAATCAAACCCTAGCTACTCTATTAATTTTAGATTATTAATTTGCTATTATATACGATTTTCCCATATTTTATCACGATAAATATCTTTAATTGTAATAGTCTGTATGTTGTCGGTTTTATATTTAATGTATAATGTATAAGAATTATATAATTAGTATCGAGATAAGATACATATATTATTTAGTAAAATAAGATATTAATTAAATGTTTCATTTTTTAATTAGAAGTTTTAGGTTTGAATAGCTGGAAAGGAAAAAAACACTAATATTTTATTACGATAAATATTTATAATCGTAATAGTTTGTATATAGTCGGTGTATATTTAATATATAATGTATAACAAATTATATAATTAGTATCTAGATAAGATACATAAATTATTTAGTAAACATGCAGGCTAAAATTTCTTAATTAATGTTACTAAGGTTTTCTTGTGTTGAACTAATGTATATAAATATAAAACACTATTATTATTTTTTATTACTATAAATGAAAATGGAAAATAAAACCATTTAATAGTTCTCATGAAGGCCTTAATTAAGTCATATAATAATATTACTAATAATTTACTATCATAATTCGTGGATTGAGTGATCCAAGTTGAAAATGACAAATTTTAAGTCTGAAACAATTGATGACCATAACGAGACAATCCGTGAATAAAATGCTCGTATGCCCAAGTTGCTTTCAAACTAATTGAAGACAAATACAACAAAATATTTTTAGGTATACAAATAATGCATTAATACTTTTCTTACTAAAAATTTTAATAGTAGAATTATTCTTATACTCAATTAATTATTATTTCGATTTTTATTATTAATTTTTATATTTTGTGTTTCAATGCGATTGTAAATTTTGTTGTTGTTACTAGTCCTACTTCATTTTCCTATTTTCTCTAATCAAATCCTTTCTTTGTGAGATGCTCGATCGATCGATTATCGCAAACAAATTCTCTATTTTCATGCGATAAAAATAATATATATATAAAATTATACTGAATATGTTATTACCGATGATACGACGAGAAATCATGATTCCTAAACCACCTACCCCTCCAACCGTAACAA